ACCATCGAGGCCTTTCACGGGCTCTACCTGCAGCTGGGTGGCCGTGGGTGGCCCTACCGAGCCGATGCTTCACGTGAGCCACACAAGCACGCCTACGCACACGCACATACACCCGTGCGCACGCACACATGCATGTGCAAACGGTGTGGACCCAGGCCCTTGGCCGCACAAACCAGGAAACCACGTGTTTTTCGTAGGGGCAACTTTTGAAGATAGCCAAGCGCAGCTTGTTGGGGGAACCTCAAGGCCGGAGCCATGCGCACGTCCAGCGCGCTCAGCGCAAAAGAGACCCGCTGCATGACCTGCAAGGCTCGCTCGTGCGGCCACGCGGCGGCCGACCAAAACTTGCCCCCGCTGAAGAACCGGGTATGAGTCAAAATTCAGCCACTAGGGAACTGCAGGTGTCCGCAGGTTTTAGTCCATATTTCTATTTACCAGCGTTCCATTTTGGGTACCAATTTCTGACCCACACCCAACCAAGTACGAAGCTGTCACCGTCATTGTGTCGTTTTGGCTTCCGAGTTGAGGACGGACGGCATCTATGAGACTGACTATGGCAATCTGTTTGCTTTCTAGTGCTGCTTTCGTGGTGCTCTCAAAATCTGCCGCGCATGTTCAGCTCCACGCCGCAGGTTTGCACGCGCTAACAATCCCGCAAAACATGAGCAGCCGGCGCTTCCTTTTGTCCTCCAAAGCCTCCAGCTGCGCCAACCTATTCAGCCGCGACCCAGACTCGCGTTTGCATCGGCACCCATCAAGCGCCTCAGCTCACGGCCGCGACCAACCTCTGAGCGCTTGCGACTGACACCCCTTACTTTGTGTGAAGCCGTCAGCCGATGTTTTTGAGAAGCCCTTCAAGGGCGCCGGTCGCCATCTGAGTCACTAGGAAGATCCGAGCCACTGAGCCTCTTTTTCTGCATCTTCTGAGATCTCAACCAAAGCTGGGCGATCGCCTCATTTGGCCCCATGGACCCCCCCAGCCAAGAGCCACCTCTCCAAGCCACAGCCCCCGCATCCATTGGAAGGAAAGCGCCACCGCGGCCGGCCAGCGCCCCGCGGAAGGCATCTGGCACGCATCCAGCACCCAGACTGCCTCCTGCCAAGACCTGGGGAGACCCGCGGCCACCGGCTCCAAAGGGGAATTCGAGCAACCCAAGAACCGCCCAGGCGATTTCTCCGTGGAACGCAGAACAAAATGCCCCACGCCTTGCACGAAGTTGCGAGGCAAAGGCCACAGCTGCCCACTAAGCTTGGGAACTTTTTCTGACTGTAAACCAACAGCCTCAAAAGCGGTTGGTGCACATGCATCCCTTGAATTTGATGTCCGCCAATGTACAAAGAGTCCCGGACCCAGCTACATGGCTGTGGGTCACAAATACGTACCCAAAACGGTTGCCCTGGTAAGTGGAAACATGGAAAAACCCTGCGGTCCATATCCCGGTTTCATTTTGAACCCCACACACACCTCGAATGCCCCCACCCACCCACCCCTCCGCGACGCGCCCTCCGCGACGGCCTGCAGGCCCGCACGGCCGCCTGCTGCATCTGCTCGTCCACCCGCCAGCCCTTCGCCTGCGCATCTCGCAGGAGCTCCTTCACCGCGGCGGAGCCAAACCCGCCGCCACCGCCAAGGGCAGCGAGGGCCGGCAGCAGGTCTGCCTACATCAAGGCGCGTATGGAAAACATCCATGCAAGTCGTGGCAAACTAAGCGAAGTCCATTTGGGGGGCACAGCAAATGGGCCGAAGAAACACCGAAGCCTTTGTACCCAATTGGTCAGTATCGTTTTTCCTCAACAACACGGGGTGTAACCAACAAGAACTAAGCCTATTCAAAAGAAAGTGTCTGCCTGGTTTTTTTTTACTTGCGCTCTCTCCGTTGTTGTTTTCCCTCAGTGTCGGTTTCCGATGGTTTGGGCCTGCCAAACACGTCGAGGGACAGCTGACATTACGAAAAGGCGCGCCGGCCCAACTGGGCCCGTGGCTTTGTTGGGGAAGTGAGAAATCTTTTGGGTCACAGAATTATCTGGCGATTTCTGCTAGAGCATCAGGGTCCATCAGTGCCTGAAGCGTGTGCAAAGCCGGCGCTGGCAGTACTCAGCGCTGTGGCCAATGCAAGGTCACTTCAAAGACTCAACAGTTCGCCCAGACCACTCGCCAGGTCGCAGTCAAAATGTCGCTATCAGGCTGCTTGGTCATGACCCTCTGTCTGACCACTCGCCAGTCAAAAATGTCGCGATCAGGCTTAGTCATTTGGCAGTGGCGCGCAGCTCTGTCAGAAAATGTCCAGCTGCATATGGTTGGGGGGCTTGAACAGAGCTCCAGATTCAACAGAGTCGATGACTCCAGGTGAGCGGTGATCAAAATCAATAGGCCAAATTGCGATGATATCATTTGGCGCTTCCGCGTGCTTCCGCGCCCTTCCGCGCTGCGGGCGTTTGCTTCCGCACTCTCATTTCCCTTCCGCGCCTTCCGCGGCTTGCGTCTCTTTCTTGCCAAGCCAACACAACTAGATCCACGGAAGATGAGGCCAGATCGGCCCATGGCTTTGGATTTGGCGGCTTGGACGCTAGAAACAGGTAAGTGAAACAGCCATGCTGGGGAAGCCCTGAAGAGATTGCGAGCCTGTGCTTGAGGCATCCTTGTGCAACGTGGAGCCATCCAGTTTCTGTTACGAGCAGTAGACGGCTGTAGCAAATGGTTTATGGGTCACGACGAGCCCTGAAACGCGAATCCCAATAGATTTGCAACGCAAACGTGAAGCCTCACGACACACCGCGGCTACGATTCCTGCACAGGGCCAACGAGAACAACATCTAAATCACGGAACCCTTCCGCGGTCCTTCCGCGACCTTCCTCCAGTGTTCCGCGAGTTCAGCCCAACATCAATCTCCACGCATGTAAGGCCCGGGGTTCAAAAACGATTTGTTTAGCCCGAACAAATCGTTTTTAAGCCCCGGGAGCAAAAACAACTTGTTGGGCCCGAACAAATCGTTTTTCAGCCCCGGGAGCAAAAACGATTTGTTGGGCCCGAACAAATCGTTTTTCAGCCCCGGGAGCAAAAACGATTTGTTGGGCCCGAACAAATCGTTTTTCAGCCCGGGAGCAAAAACGATTTGATGGGCGATTTGGGCCCGAACAAAGCGTTTTTCAAGCCCCGGGAGCAAAAACGATTGTTGGCCCGAACAAATCGGTTTTCAGCCCCGGGAGCAAAAACGATTTGGGCCCGAACAATCGTTTTTCAGCCCCGGGAGCAAAAACGATTTGTTGGGCCCGAACAAATCGTTTTTCAGCCCCCGGGAGCAAAAACGACTTGTTGGGCCCGAACAAATCGTTTTTCAGCCCCGGGAGCAAAAACGATTGTTGGGCCCGAACAAATCATTTTTTTTTTTCCAGCCCCGGGAGCAAAATACGATTTGTTGGGCCCGAACAAATCGTTTTTTTTCAGCCCCGGGAGCAAAAACAATTTGTTGGGCCCGAACAAATCGTTTTTCAGCCCCGGGAGCAAAAACGATTTGCTGGGCCCGAACAAATCGTTTTATAGCCCCCGGAGCAAAAACGACTTGTTGGGCCCGAACAAATCGTTTTTAACCCCGGGAGCAAAAACGATTTGTTGGGCCCGAACAAATCGTTTTTAAGCCCCGGGAGCAAAAACGATTTGTTGGGCCCGAACAAATCGTTTTTTGAGCCCCGGGAGCAAAAACGATTTGTTGGGCCCGAACAAATCGTTTTTCAACCCCGGGAGCAAAAACGATTTGTTGGGCCCGAACAAATCATTTTTTGGCCCGGGAGCAAAAACGATTTGTTGGGCCCGAACCCGGGAGCAAAAACGAAATTTGTTGGGGCGCCGAACCAAATCGTTTTTCAAACCCGGATTTCTTGGGCCCGAAACAACTCGTTTTTGGAGCCCGGGAGCAAAAAACGATTTCTTGGGCCCGAACAACTCGTTTTTGAGCCCCGGGAGCAAAAACGATTTGTTGGGCCCGAACAAATCGTTTTTTAGCCCCGGGAGCAAAAAACGATTTGTTGGGCCCGAACAAATCGTTTTTCAACCCCGGGAGCAAAAACGATTTGTTGGGCCCGAACAAATCGTTTTTAAGCCCCGGGAGCAAAAACGATTTGTTGGGCCCGAACAAATCGTTTTCTTGAGCCCCGGGAGCAAAAACGATTTGTTGGGCCCGAACAAATCGTTTTTCAACCCCGGGAGCAAAAACGATTTGTTGGGCCCGAACAAATCATTTTCAAGCCCCGGGAGCAAAAACGATTTGTTGGGCCCGAACAAATCGTTTTTTGAGCCCCGGGAGCAAAAACGATTTGTTGGGCCCGAACAAATCGTTTTTCAACCCCGGATTTCTTGGGCCCGAACAACTCGTTTTTGAGCCCCGGGAGCGCGAAACGGATTTGTTGGGCCCTCGAACAAATCGTTTTTTTTCAGCCCGGGAGCAAAAAGATTTTGTTTGGGCCGAACAAATCGTTTTCAACCCGGGAGCAAAAACGTTTGTTGGGCTCCGAACAAATCGTTTTTTCCAACCCCGGGAGCAAAAACGATTTGTTTGGCCCGAACAAATCGTTTTTACGCCCCGGAACCAAAAAAACGATTTGAACAACTCACTTTTAGGCCCCAGGAGCAAAAACGATTTGTTTAGCCCGAACAAATCGTTTTTACGCCCGGGAGCAAAAACAATTTGTTCGGCCCGAACAAGTCGTTTTTTTAGCCCCGGGACAAAAATCGATTCTGTTGGGCTCGAACATTCGTTTTTTCAACCCGGGAGCAAAAACGATTTGTTGGCCGCCGAAACAAATGTTTTTCAACCCTGGGAAAAGGGAAAATCGATTGTTGGGCCCGAACAAACGTTTTTTTTCAGCCCCCAGGGAAGCAAAACGATTTGTTGGGCCCGAACAAATCGTTTTTCAACCCCGGATTTCTTGGGCCCGAACAACTCGTTTTTGAGCCCCGGGAGCAAAAACGATGTTGGGCCCGAACAAATCGTTTTTTAGCCCCGGGAGCAAAAACGATTTGTTGGGCCCGAACAACTCGTTTTTGAGCCCCGGGAGCAAAAACGATTTGTTGGGCCCGAACAAATCGTTTTTCAACCCCGGATTTCTTGGGCCCGAACAACTCGTTTTTGAGCCCCGGGAGCAAAAACGATTTGTTGGGCCCGAACAAATCGTTTTTTAGCCCCGGGAGCAAAAACGATTTGTTGGGCCCGAGCAACTCGTTTTTGAGCCCCGGGAGCAAAAACGATTTGTTGGGCCCGAACAAATCGTTTTTCAACCCCGGATTTCTTGGGCCCGAACAACTCGTTTTTGAGCCCCGGGAGCAAAAACACGCAGGCCTCGTGGAAAGGTTTCCCGAGTCACCACACAGGCCTCGTGGAAAGGGCTGGCTGGCCGACATTTTCTTTTGAATCGAAGCGAAGCAGCCAGGGCCAAAAAACGATTTGTTCGGGCCCAACAAATCGTGGTGACTCGGGAAAGTTCATGGAGCCATCCCACGAAGCGCAAATTCTTGCGGCTCAAGTCCTCCCGGGCTCTGCTGGCAGTGTTGTGCCTCTTGCGGGCTTGCAAGCCCGGGGTGCGGAAACGATGCCCGAACAAATTGTTTTTTGCGAAAACCACTGTTGGGCCCAAATCGCTTGAGAGCAAAATATTTCTACACGCTTTTGACGCTCCAAAAATGTTACCCTTCCACGCCCTTCCGCGGCGCAAATCTCTTAGTCAAGTCCGCCGGCCCTTCACCAAGCTTCCGCGGCCTGCAGAAAACCTTCCGCGCGGATTGATTTCAGCGCTCCCTTGCTTAAATTGCTCTGAGCTTTTTTGATCGCTGCTCAGGTGTCAGGTTCAAGACCAAAAGGGCTTCATATGGTTTGGTGTCCCGGGGCGAAACCTAGGAGAAAAAACATGGCCTTCAGTTCTTGCACTGGGGCTTGAGCTTGTTCTGATTTAGAATCAAGTAGTTGCGGCGGACAAGAGTAGCGACTGCGCCACAAAAGCTCAAGGAGCGTCCTTAGCAGAGCAGGCCGTGGTTTTGGAAATGATTTGAAACGCGTCTATGCCAAAGTGGGCCAGCCCCTTGCCCATCAAGGCAGCAGCCCTCTCTGCACTCCCTCCCGCTAACATGGCACCTACCCCAGTCCCTTCAAGAGTAATTTGATCTTCCAGGCCCCTCCCCCAGGTGCCTCCCAAATCCGCCATTGGTGACAAAAAGTGCCCATCTCCCGCACCCACAGAGCTGCTTCGACCAGAAGGCCCCCCCCCCCGCCCCACCTTCCGCAGGCGCGGGGCAAGCAGCCGCCGGGCCTCGCGCCAGAGACCAGATCGGCCCATGGAGGTCAGCAAGGACTGCCTCGACAGATCGAGCCGGTCGCCGGTCCCTGTGCGGCCGAAACGGGAAAGCGGGGGTTGTCCCTAAAAATACGGGGGAAATATCGGGGGACCCCCGAAAAAAAAATGGGGGGACCCCCAAAAATTTTAGGGGACCCCAGAAAATGGTAGGGATTGTGGTGTTGCTTCGATTTTCGCACTTTGAAACCATCCTTTAAGGGTTCCCCCTAAAAACAGACACCCCCCCAAATCTGATAAGCGACGTCGTTGGGGAAAGAAAGGACCCAAAAAACATGTGGCTGTGGATCAAAAATAGGGTAACCCCAAAATGGAACCCTGGTAAGTGGCAACATGGACCAAAGCCTGCGGTCCAATTCCTGGTGTTTGAATTTTGACCCACAAAACCTCACGTCTCCACACCCAGCACTGGTCAAGGCTTGGAAGGTGCCGCGCGCCGCGCCTCGCGCTGGGCTCAGCCCATGGAAGCAGCCACACCGCCTTCTGCCAGCTTCGGGCCGAGGCGCAAGTCCTCACGGCGAGCTGTACGCACGGCATCCACCGGCTGGGTCGTTGCTGCTCACACCCTGCCATGCCCGCAACAAGTTGTTGTTTCCGCACCTCACTCTTCCCTATATCAGCCCCAGTTTGTTGATAGGGGGTTCGGTTTAGTGGGGAATCAGACCACTTTTGTGGGGGCCCCCACCCCCTGAAATTCATTAGCAGGGTCAACATTACCCTTTTTTACCCTGCCTTGCCAGCGTGCCACAGAACCGTGCGTCCGCGCGGAGCCGCTGCCGCGCGAGCTGCCGCAGCAGCCGCCACGCCGCATCCTCTGCAGCCGGCACGGCGTGCTCGCAGGCACTGCAGGCGCTGGTGAAGGAAACCTCACGGGGCAGGTAAATGGGTAGGCAGGGACACACGTGTGCAACGGTAGCTTTGGGCAAGTAATCTGTGCGAGCGGCATGCCGAGATCGAATCTACTCATGCGATAGCCCGGTCTGCCGTGTGTTGCTTTCATGTGCGTGCTTGCTCGGACCCCAGAAATCTTTGTCGGGATCGCACGTCTGCATCCTAAGCCTTCTCCCCCAAACACGCAAAAAAACGGCCTGGTCGGGCTGCAGGCGCGCCAGCTGCAGCATCAGCACCGCCGGCTCCCACCCACGACGGCCCTGCGCCGTGATTTGGCAGTTCCGCAGCGCAAGGCTGGGCCGAAGCCCGGCCCCAAGTGCAACCTCCAGCAAATGCAGCGACCAGCTCCAGGCTCCTAGCAACTAACATGGCACCTGACAAGGAATCAGGTACCTCCACTGGAGTCCCATATTCGTGGGAGGAAGGGTAAGACAACAAACGGACCTTCAGAAGGGAGGCACGCAATGTCAGCCTTGTTATGTTCCACACGCGCACAATTCAGCGGCTTCAAGCGCCCTCCTGCTCGGTTGCAGGCCGCTGCTGCGGAGCACAGCGGCGCAGACTCCGAGTCCGGCGTGAGTTGCCGCACCTTCCATGCCCATAAACGGGCCAAGGTGGGGGTGAGGGGTGGAGGGGTGAGGAGTGAGGAAAAGGGGCCCCCTCTCATCTTCCCACCCCACAAAACGGCCCAAGCCGGTTCCCCGTCACCGGGTTTCCCCTTCAAGCGCTGCCCGCGGCCCGCGCGGCGACGGCCGCCCAAGGCCGCCTTCCGCATGAGGCCCACGAGCCGCAGCGCCGCGCGCCACTGGCGCGACGCGCCGCAGGCCGCCAGCGCCGTGCCGAAGCTGACCTGGTCCGCGCCAAGGCGCGAGGACAGGAGCCCAGCGAGCAGCTGGAGCACCGAGGGCCAGGCGTCGGCGCCTGAGAAACCGATGGCTAGGGAATGAGAAATGGGAGGAACCCAGGCGTTGCTCCCCTTAAAGGAAGCCACCTGGATGGTTTAGAAAACCAACGGATAGGTAGGGAATGAGGGGAACCCAGGAATTGGTCCCCTTAAAAGGAAACCGATGGTTTAAAAGGGTCATCCCATTTCTCATTTCCTTTTGAGCACCAGCAAGCCAATCTGGACACCCACAATGGGCTGGATCCCTGTGTGCATGACAAAGTCCAAAGATCCGTTGCCAAAATCGCCATACAGATTCCCAACCGCACAAACAGTTTGGTTCACAAACGACCCCCCCCCCTCCCCACGCCCACCGCAAACGACACCCCCCCCCCCACAAGGAGACCCGTGGCACCGGCGCCTCGGCACCGGAGCAGCGCGGCCCCCGCCGCGTTGCTCACCGCCTTTCCCAGTCCCTCGCTCTTGGCGCGCACCAGGCAGTCGATGGCCAGGCACCACCTGTCAGATCCGCCCTCGGAGTCGATGGCCCCCAAAAGGATGGCCCGGAAGGACCCGGTTTGGAGGAAGCTCCCAGTTAGAACAACACCCCCCTTGTTTTAATGGTGGCTTGGAAAATTCAGGGTATGGGCATGTCTGGAAGATCAGTTCCTGCTTGTCAGGCGCCATGAAAACGTGGGAGAGAGGGTATCCCACATTGAGCCGGACATGTCAGCGAGTCAAAACGTGGTGCCTCTCTTTTTCCCCCGAAAGCTATGGGCCATGGGCCTCTGCCCAGAACCAAAGTTGTCTGGAGCCAGGAGTGGCCCGCAGGGTTCCAGAAGCTTTGGGGGGGGCTGAGGAGTGCGGTGAGTTCCGGGGTTTGGCTCCAAAGCTGCTGTTGAAACCGCCTGGTAACACGGCAAAGCAGATTGACCGTGGCCTGTGGCCTGACACACAACATTTGCTGCCCCACCGCGCATCCGGCATCCCCAAGCCGTCGACGCGGGCGGGCCCGTCTGAAATTCAGGTATCCTCCTTTTTGCTCTTTGTCCTTTCGGTTTCCAATTAACACAAACCATCCAAACCGGGATTTCAATGGCTTCCGCAGTGTTAGGCCCTTTCCCGGCTTCCCCCCCTCACCCAACCCCCAACACCCCCCCCCCCTCCCCCCAAAACAAGGAGAAAAAATCCTCGCCCCCTCGCCCAACCCCCAAACCCCCCACCACCAAAAAAAAGGCGACAAAACAAACCGCGGGCCTGCCGCTGCTGCGGCAGGCGTCCACCGCAGCCACATAGGCCATCTCCGATTTTTCGGCGCCTTCCGCCCCCCCAGCGCCGCCGGCGCCGGCGGAACTGTCGCCACCGCCGGCGGACGCCAGGAGCGCCAGGGCGGGCTGCCAGAGCCGCACGCGGCCCAGGCGGCGGATCGCCAGCGCCAAGACCTCCCCGGAAAGCACCAGGCGCCGGCGTGCGAAGGCCAGCACCCGAAGCAGCTCCTGGAAGTCGCAGGAGAGGTTGAGCCCGATTCCAAAAAAGACAAAAGGCTGGGTGTTGTTGTTTTGTTGTGTTTGCTTCTTGTTTCTGTCCTCTTTGTGTTTTTCAGGTGTCCACCCCCGTTGAACCAGCCAAAACCTCGAAAAGAGCGAAGCCCAAAAAGAGCTTGAGGGGGGTGGCCTGTTTGCAAAGCCTGGCGCCTCCAAACACCAGAAATCTCCAAAAGAATGCGCTGGCCCACCCTCTTTCCAACAACCATACATAAGCGAACAGGGGCACCTCTCATCAACTTCAGCCTCCCTGGAGGGTTTCGAGAAGAAGAAAAAATGAGAAGAAGAAGAAAAGAAAGAACAAAAAGAAGAAGAAAAAACACCAAGCAAAAAAAAAAAAAAAAAAAACGCGCCGGCATCCTGCCCGGCATCCCACCCCCGTCCGCTTGGTCCACGTACTTGGCCGCCAGGAACCTCCGGATCAGCTCCGGGCTGGTGGCGCCCCTCTGCGCCCAGGACGCCGACCAGGACGAGGCGCGGCGCAGGACCCGGCGCCGCCAGGCCACCTGGGCCTTCCTGCCGTGTCGCCGCGCAGGGAGCGGGGACCAAAGCCCTTTTAGGTTTCCTTGGATGCCTTCACGTGCACCTTCTGGGGGTGGTTTCTGTATTTTAAAAAAAGGCGGACCCCCAAAATGGGTTGTTTCTTTTTGGTTTCCGGCACCACCCGCACAGAGTGGGTCAGCCTCTGGGCAGGAAGCCCTTGGATCTCCTGGCCCGCTAACCCCCCCCCCTCCTCTGCTGAAGCTCCACGCTGTCCTCCGGCCACAGGATCCAGGTCTGGCGCAGGAGCAGGCCGCGCAGCTCCTCGAGCCCCGCCTCGGTGCACCGGCTGCTTAGGATTCGAAGGGGGGGGCTGGGGTGGGGGTGGGTGGCGTGGGGGTGGGTGGAGGGGGCTGGGTGGAGGGGGCTTGGTGGAGGGGGCCGGGTGGAGGGGTCTGGGTGAGAGGTGGAAAGCAAAACACCATGCTTGGAACGGGTGCAGGAAAAATAGGAAAGGTCTCCGAAATCGGCGTGAAGAACAGGGATCATGGGGCGTTTGTGTGTGAGCGCGTGATTCTGCCTTGGGGGTGCTGCCCAGGATGGCTAGGGCTGATGCAAAGGATGCCATCGCTCCGGCAATCAGAGTGCGAACGACGGTCTTGCAAAACCTCCCGGCTTGCAAAGGGTAAGACTGATCAAGGGAAAGGTTGAATGGCCACCTGGCACTTGCCAACACACCGACTGCAAGCTTGCAACCAAACCACCAAGCCAGCCAGCAAGCAACCAAGCGAGCAAGCAAGCACAAGGAAGGACCACCAGGGACAACCTCTGATTGGCAATCGCTCTGAAGCTCATTTGCCAAGAAGCGGTACAGTACCCACCAGTCAATCAGCACGGGCCAGAAATCAACTGATTCACTCCCTTTGCCAATCACAAGCCACCCCCTTCCCAAGATTTCCAGCTTCTCCCCCCCTTCTCCCCAAAATATGTTTCCCAGCTCCGAGGCGCAAGCTCCTTGAGGTGCCAGCGCGCGAAGGCCCTCAGCTGCACCAAACGCAGCACCTTGCCGCCCATGCTGTCGATGAGCCGCGACAGCCAGGCGCAGAAGCCCTCCCCCCGCATCGCCTGCCGGTAGCCCGCCGCGGTCAGTGGCGCCGAATCCCGAAGCTCCGCCGCCTTTTCTTTGCGGGCCTCCCAGGCCTGGCACTGGCATTGCTGGAGTGCCACATCAATCAACGAGCGGCACCAAACATCTCTGGTGTGGAACAGAAACAAAAGAAAAACAAGAAAAAGAGAAGAAAAAGAAAGGGGAAAAAAAAGAAGAAGACAAAAAGAAGAAGAAGAAAAAAAACGCCCCGCCTCAATGGACTTCAGGAGCTCGTCTGTCGAAGGAGGCCGTTTCTTGCGCCATTCCCTCAGCCAAGTCTGACCCCTTCGAGGCGCATATCGCCTCAGCTTCTGCATCTGCAGCCTGAAGCTCTCGTCATACCAAATCACCCATGGTTGATCCTGCAGCTGCTGCATCAACGTCTCGAAGTGCTCCTTGGTTGGAGGCACGGCACCTCTGAACGTTAAAAGTACTGGTCCCATGGCTCATCTGTTCAAGAATCATGCTCAATGCTCAATGCCCAGCAAACTCAAAAGGGCTGATCCAACCACCATCTGTTTGCAATCGCTGCTTGCGCACGCTTCAGAAACAATGCCACTGCACTTCAATCAAGCGGCGCTTCTCTGCGAGCAGTCTTCAACAAAGGACACGAGCTGATCTCTCGATAGAATCAGCCCATCCATGCTGGTGACCAGCCGCTCAATGAAGCAACGGAGTTGCCTGAAGCTGCCTTCTGCCAGGACAGCCTGGTATCCTCTGTCGTTCAAGGCCGGCATTTCTTCCAAGACTTCTGGCTGCCGCTCTGCCCTGGGTTTCGAGCTTCTGGATGATGACGCTGGTGATGCTGAGCTCACCTGCGGAAAGGACAGGCGCGCCGGCTCTGCTTGCGGCAACTTGCGAAGCCAAGTTGCCGGTATCATGCAAACTGAGGGGGCAAGCACAGCGCTACCGAAACCAAAGACTTCCTGAAGACCACCACTTAACTCTTGGAACACCAAAGCCCCGAGTGCTACCCATCCCGCATCGAAGGCCGGGCCCTAAGCGGGCGAGTCAGATGCCAAACGGACCTCGCGACCCAGCGGCGCCTCCCCCTGCAAGAGCCATCGCGAGAGATCCGCCTCGAGGTCCGAAGCCTGAGGCTCTCACGCACAGCTTCCCAATTGGTTAGCCGGTTTGGTGGTTCGGGTTGGTGGAGTGGTTGGTGGTTCGGGTTGGTGGTTCGGGTTGGAGTGGTTCGGGTTGGAGTGGTTGGTGGAGGTGGTTGGTGGTTCGGGTTGGTGGAGTGGTTGGTGGTTCGGGTTGGTGGTTCGGGTTGGAGTGGTTCGGGTTGGAGTGGTTGGTGGAGGTGGTTGGTGGTTCGGGTTGGTGGAGTGGTTGGTGGAGGTGGTTGGGTGGTTCGGGTTGGTGCTGAGGGCCATGCTTGTCCTGCGAATGAAACCCCCTTGCCTCACCAAGCCAAAAGCAGCTCGAGCCACTTCGGCCAGAAGGGCTGGTGGTTTCCCATCTACCCAAATGGTCCAAATCCCCAAACCACCCCTAGGGGAGGGGAGGGGAGGGGAGGGGAGGGCACGTTGGCGGGAGGTGAGGGCCGATGGAAAGAAGTGACCAACACGTCCAAGAGTGGCGAAGAAAAATGAACAGCCACAGATATGCCTCGAGAACGCGAAGATCAAATGGACAAGAAGCAAGGATCAACTCAACCCACGGCGTTTCAGGTTGCCTCACATGCGCGACAAGCGACAGGCACAGTACATGTCAGAAAGCAACTGTACGGCCCGCCTTTGACGCATGGATGTGCCTTGTTTGAGCGCGCCCTTTTTAAGGGTCCGTTTAAAAAGGAAAACAAAGGAGACAAAACATAAGTGACATAAGTTCAATTCATTTCATTCACCTCCTTTTGGAGACACTTATATATGTATATATATATATGTATCATTTATACATACATATATATAATATGTATATATATAATATATAGATATATATATATATATATGAGTGTGTGTGTGTGTGTGCCTCGGAACCCCCTTCCCATCCAAGGCACACAGCGCAGCTGTAAGCCAGGCCTGACAGAACAGAACTGGCATACCCGAATGGCTCAACCAAACCGGCTTAAGACCAACTTGCCAAACGTCACCGGGCCATTTGACACCTTTCCGGTCCTGTACTGCACGGCCGCAACCATTCACAACCTGGTGGTATGGCTGTGGGTCAAACATTTTGTGGAACAAAAGACTAAAAACCTGCGGTCCAATTCCTGGTGCTTTAATTTTGACCCGTACCCAAATCTTATCCTCCCACCAACAGACATAGAAGTGCACAGACCCCTGGAGAAAGACTACTTTCCTCTTGGAAAGGGGGTCTGTGCACTTTCCTCTTGGAAAAGGGCGCCCGGTTTGATCACGACTTCCCCTCGTCCCGCACGCTCCGCGCGCTCCGCGCTTGATCCGCCTCCGGTGGCGCCAAGTCGCGGTGGAGCCCATGGCTGCCAGTCTGCCAGCCGTTCGGAGCCCAGCGGCCGCCGAATGCTCGAGCTACCGGTGCCGGGCCCCGGTCTCCGAGCGCGAAACGCTTTAAGAAGGACGCGGATCAGAGCCAGACGTCACATTTTCCGTGGGGCTTTGGGCTTATGCACAGCTCGGTTGCTGTTGCTTTCGCTCACTCTCCGCTTGGCTCCTGTTGGGGCGTGCGTGGCCTGCATCCAATTGGTTTTCGCATGACATGCCGGAGTCAGCCTATGAGCCTCGTGGCTGAGTGCAAGCGCAAACTCGTTCAAGGCACTGAGCCCCCACGGCAAGGCAGCGTTCGCAAAAACAGGTGGGGTCGGGTGCCTGCTCACGAGGCTGGCAGCAGCACAGGCCGTCCCATGAGTGAGCAGTGGCTCCTACTGGTCACCGGCTTTTACGCCGCCTTCTATGCGAGAGATGCAGAGATGTCGTGCATCTCAAATGCCACTGCCTCTCCGCTTGTGTTTTTTTGTTTTCTTCACTCATACGTCTTCTCCGCAGCCAATCAGCTCTCCAGGCTGGACTGGGTTCTTTCCTTCACATGAGGCTCACACAGCACCTTTCCCACAAGCAGCTCCTAGAGCCAAGAGCCGCCGGGTCAAGCCTTCCGAGGCCGCAACGCACGCGTGATCCCTGCTCGTGCACGCGAAACGATTGCGTCTTCCCCATGCGATTTCCTTGCTTTCGCCGCATCTCATGGCGGAGATGCGAATTTCGGGGGCCCGATGCCAGACAACGCGCGGGCTGAAGTACAGATTGGAATCCCGCTCCCCTCAGGTGGCGCTATCACCGCCTCAAATGCGCATGCAAGTTGCCCACCCACTCCGCTGGTCACAAAGATCCAAACCAACAAAGAGTGGCGACCTCGGTCCTGAAGGCGTCACACGTCAAAATGTGTCAGCTGCTGGGTGGGGCAGGATATGGCTTCAACACCACCTTTGCCAGAGGGAAGAATCCTCATAACCAGTGGTTTGACAAAAGCCACAGCTTGTCAAAAGATGTCAACCACCAGGAGCTTGCAGCAACAGGACGGGCCTGGTTTCAACATGTTTAAACCAATGGGTGGCCCCCATCCCAAGTCAGCTGCAGCTGAGATGCCGCCCAACTGCAAGCCAGCCAGGGCTTGAGTCACATCTCCACCTGAGCTGCAAGAAGCGAGCCAAAGCTTTAGCCTCATGTGGGGGACAAAAAGCAAAAAATCGAAAAGGGAAGCTAATTCTGGGGAAGAAAATAGGCGGCAAATGGATGTTCATCCACCCCAAAATGGAGCCATAGGTTATGCCCCATGGCCCACTGCGCCTCCCAGCGCGTCTGGCTCTACATGAGTTGAGGTGGCACAGCCTCGCAAGGGAACTGTCTGGATTGGGGATCTCTCGGCTTCACGCGTGAAAGCAAGGGATTCGACACACATATATATATATATATATGCATATATATTTATAAACACATTTATACATATATGCACACATACACATACACATACACATACACATACACATACACATACACATACACATATATATACACACACACACACATGCGCTACACGCAAACCTCAAGGTACAAGGCTTTACGTCCACTTGAAGCGCCGGCCTCGTGGATTTACCGCGTGCAACGCCCCACAGCATGGATAGCGGCTGTCGTAATCAGTTCTTGGAAAGGTGGAAGCGGCAGAGCCTCGGTCGTTTGGAGTCTGCCGTCTGCATGGCACACATGCACACACGATGCTTGTTTTTGTGTGACCACAAGCTCACAGGCACGCGAACGCGCGGGCACATGCGCAATTGCGAGTTGGCGTGCATACCAAATCGCGTGTTTTTTGGTTTGTTTGTGTGTGGTGTTGCATCGTGTTGTGGGGTGATATTGTGGTATTGTACGTTGCGCTGCGTTGTATTGCAGTGCTGCACGGTTGGGCAAAACTTTGTAAAGTGTGCATGTGTGTCTGTGTGTCTGTGTCTGTGTCTGTGTCTGTGTCTGTGTCTGTGTCTGTGTCTGTTTCTGTTTCTGTGTCTGGGTGGGTGGGTGGGTGGGTGGGTGGGTGGGTGGGTGGGTGGGTGGGTGGGTGGGTGGGTGGGTGGGTGGGTGGGTGGGTGGGTGGGTGGGTGGGTGGGTGGGTGGGTGGGTGGGTGGGTGGGTGGGTGGGTGGGTGGGTGGGTGGGTGGGTGGGTGGGTGGGTAGGTGCCCGTGCGTGAGGGCGGGCGTGAGCATCCGGGTGTCGTGCTTGTGTTTGTGCTTGTTGTGCTTGTTGTTGTGCTGTCGTTGTGTTGTGTGGTGTCGTGTCGTGCGGTGTTGTGTTGTCGTACTGCGTTGAGCTGTGCTGCTGTGTTGCGTTGTTAGGTGGGTGAGTAGGTGGGCGGGCCAGCCGGCGGTCGGCGGGCCGGCGAGCAGGCAGGCGGGTGGTGTGTTTGTGTGCTTGCGCGCTTGTTCCCCAAACAGTTTATTCCCAAACAGTTTACTGTAGGGGTTCTTGATTCTTTTAGGCTTTGTCTCCCCTTGTCTCCCTTCATATCTGCTTCCACTCTGTCCCCCCTTGTCTCGCCTTATCTCGCCTCGTCTCCCTTGTCTCCCCTTATCTCCCCTTGTCTCCCCTTGTCTTTTCTTGTGTCCCTTGTCTCCCCTTGTCTGGGCTCCTGCCGCCTTGTCTCCTCCCTGTGTCTCCCCTTGTCTCCCTTCATATCCTGCTGCCTTGTCGTTCGGTTGGACGGGTTCCTGCCGGTCCCGAGATCGCCGGGCCGCATGTTCGCCACTTACTGGTCTCACAGCATGCGCCTTCATCCGTCTCCCATGCTGCCAAATCGCCGGGCCGCATGCTTGCCAGTGCGCGCATGTACTCACTTGTCTCCCGGTGCTGCCAGATCGCCGGGCCGCATGCTCACCAGTGCACGCGCATTGACTTGTCTGCCAGTATGCGCCATCCTTTGTCTCCGAGCGCTGCCAGACTGCCGGGCCGCATGCTAGTGCGCGCGCTTGCTTGGCTCCCAGTATGTGCCTTTATTCGTCTCCCGGTGCTGCCAGACTGCCGGGCCGCATGCTCGCCAGTGCGCGCACTTGCTTGTCTCCCAGTATGTACCTTCATTTGTCTCCAGATCGCCGGGCCGCATGCTCGCCAGTGCGTGCGTTTACCTGTCTCACAGCATGTGCCTTCATTTGCCTTCAGATCGCCGGGTCTCCCAGTATGTCTCCCAGCGCTGCCGCATCGCCGGGCTGCACGCTCGCCAGCGTCCTGCCAGATTGCTGGGCTGCATTTATTCTTGTCTCGGAGTATCTGCCTTCATTTGTCTCTCGGTTCTGTCAAGTCGCCGGGTTGCAGCTGCGCGCGCCGCAGATGCGCGTGACGTGTCAGCAGCGCAGGCCGCTGCTCTGCTCGCGGCGCTGCGAAGGCGACGCCGGAAGCTAGCAACGCAGGGGCGCGGAGCCGTGCGAGCTGCCGCCCCTTCCCCCACCCGACTTGTTGGACAGCATGGAGGACGCCAACTTGGCGACGGAACTACTTCGGCGGCGGGCGCGCACGTTACAGCCCCACCCGGCTTTCTGCGCGGGGCGCTGAAGAATGCGTGGGCCGTGCCGCGCTGGCCCTCGAGGTTGGTGGAGATGGACTACTTTCTGTCGCGTTTGGCAGCTTCTCTTTGTCGCGGCGCAGGAGGCGTTCGCGGCCGGCCTGAACAACCTGCCTGCCAACGCGCGCGGCGGCGCCGTTGCTGGCGCACTGCCGCTGGCGAATGTCGTGGCCGACGCGGTGGCCGGTCCAGGCGCCAGCGTGCCGTCGAACGGCGACGTATCACCCTCGCCGCACACAAGCGCAAAACAGTCTCTGTCGGCGCACAAGTGTGTTTACTGTTGGCGCACAAGAGGTTTCCTTGTTGGCGCACAAGTGTTTTCACTGTCGGCGTACACGAGTGTTCCTTGTCGGCGCACAAGCGTGATCACCGTCGGCCAAGCGGCGCCTAATTGGAGCACAAATGTGTTCACTGTGGGCGCACGCAAGTGCTCCTCAGGAACGCATAATTAAGAGTGTTCACTGTCAAAGTGTCCGTTCTCAGGGCGCAAATTTGCTCACTGTGGATTCACCGTGCGCGCGAGAGTGTTCCATGTTGGCGCGTAAGCATGTTCAGCGTTGGCGCATAAAAGCGCCCGCTGTCTGCGCGCAAGAGTTCGCCTCGTTGGCGCAGGAGCATGTTGACCGCCGGCGCATAATAGTTTTCCGTTGGCGCAAAAGCGTGCCTATGCCGGCGCGCAAAAGTTGTCCGCGTCGGCGCAGAAGTGCGCTCACTCCCGTCGCACGCAAGTGTTTCTGCTTCGCGCGCAAGGCACAAAAGTGCACGTGGTCGGCGCACAAGTGTGTTTATTGTCGGCGCACAAGAGTGTTCCTACCGTCGGCGCAATCAGGGGTTTGCTGGCGCACAAGCGTGGCCGTGGTCGGCGCACAAGAGTGTTCGTCCTCGGCGGATCAGCGTGTTCAGTGTCGGCGCCAAAAAAAAAGGCTCTGTTGGCAACAAGCGTGTCCACTGTAGTGTTGAACGGGGCGTTACTGTCGGTGCACAAGCGTGTTCCTTCTTGGCGCACAAGTGCGACCACTGTCGGCGCGCACAAGCGTTCCTCGTTGGCACACAAGAGTGTTCCTTGCTGGCGTATAAGCGTGCTCGCTGTCGGCGCGTAACAGTGTCCGTTGTCGGCGGGCAAGCGTTCATTGTCGGTGCACACAAGTGCTTCTTCTTGTCGCACAAGTCTGTTCACGATGGGCGCACGCAAGTGTTCCTTCTTGGCATCCGAGCGTCTTCACTGTCGGCGCACAAGAGTGTTCCTTAAGCGTGTTCAGCGTTGGCACATAGGAGTGTTCCCTGTTGCTGCACCAGGGTTTTCTGTTGGACGAGCGTTCCTTGCTGGCGCATACGCGAGTAGATCGTCGGCGCATTGGCGCAGAAAGGTTTTTATCGTCGGCGAGCAAGAGTGTCTTCTGTTGCCTTGTTGGCGCACAGTCGTGTCCGGTCGGCGCACATAAGTGTTCAGAGTGCTCCTCGTTGGCGCACAAGAGTGTCAAATTTGGCGCACCAGGGTCAAGTGTTCCTTGTTTGCGCACAAGTGTGTTATTCATTAGCGCACAAGCGTGTTTACAATCGGCACATAAGAGTGCGCACTGTTGGCGCACAACAGTGCGCGCTGTTGGCGCACAAGCGTGCCCCCTGTCGGGGCACGAATGTGTGGTCAGTGCGCAAGTGGGCCTACTGTCGGCGCACACAAGCTTTCCTTGTTGGAGCACAAGTGTGTTCATTCCTTGTTGGTGCACCAAGTGTGTTCACTGTTGGCGCACACGAGTGTTAATCCTTGGCGCAGAAGCATTTTCACCCTTGGCGGACATTATCGCGCCCAGTGTCGGCGCACACAAGTGTTCATGGTTGGCGCACGAGCGTGTTCACCGTTGGCGCACACAAGCGTTCCTTGTTCCCGCACAAGGCGTTTCGCTTTCAAAATTGTTCCACGGTTGGCGCACACGCGAGGTGACTGTCCACGCATAAGCGTGCGCGCCATCGGCGCATAAGCGCGCCCACTGTCGCCGCATATATGTAAATTTTGTCGGCGCACAAATGTGTACAGTGTCGGCGCGCCAGAGTGTTACCTTGTTGGCGCACCAGTGTGTTCACAGGCGGCGCACCCAAGTTTTCCTTGTTGGCGCACAAGCGCGTTCACTGTCTGCGCAAGAGTGTTCCCCGTTGGCGAATAAGGGTGTGCACAAAGAGCGCCCCTCGTTGGCGCAGAAGCGTGGCTATGTCGGCGGGCGAGAGATTGATTCTTGGTTGGCGCAGACGTGCGCTCATTGTCGGCGCCCGCAAGTGTTCCTTGTTCGCGCACAACCGCGCCCGCTGTCGGCGGCAGGCGCAGAAGCGTTTTTGCTGCGGGCGCGTAACCGCACCGTCCACTGTCGGCGCACAAAAGCGCACGCGTTCGGTTCACAAGTGTGCGTACTCGCGGCGCACAAGAGTGTTCCTTGTTAGCGGACAAGTGTGTTCACCGCCTGCGCAAGTGTGTTCTTCGTTGGCGCACAAGCGTGTTTACCGTCGGCACATAACACTGTTCCCTGTTGGCGCGCACAAGGCTGCTCCCTGCCGGCGCACAAAGAGTATTCCTCGTTGGCGCACAAGCATTTTCACTGTCGGCAGGCCATTGTGTTCTCTATTGGCGCAAAAGCGCGTGCACCTGTTGGCGCACACAAGTGCACCTTGTTGGCGGGCAAGCGTGCTCACTGTCGGCGCGCACAAGTGTTCCTTGTTGGCGCACAAGCGTTTCCACCGTCGGCACACAAGTGTGCGCCTCGTGTGTGCCTCGTTGGCGCAGAAGCGTGTCCATTGCCGGCGCACCAAGATGCCCGCGGTCAAAGCACAAGTGTGTTTACTGTCGGCGCACAAAAAGTTTTCGCTGTCTGCGCACAAGTGTTTTCACTGTGGGCGCACGCATGTGTGCCGTGTTGGCGCACAAGCGTGAGTGTTCCTTGTTGGCGCATGATTGGCACATACGCGTGCGCACCGTCGGCGCACAAGAGTGTTCCTCGTCGGCGCATCAGCGTGTTCAGCGTCGGCGCATAAAGTGTTCGTCGTCGGCGCGCAAACGTGTTCTTAGTTGTCACGTAAGCATGTTCACCGTCGGCACATCATACTGTTCCTTGTTGGTGCACAAAGCTGTGCCCTGTCGGCGCGCAAGAGTGTTCCTCGTTGGCGTATAAGCGTATTCGTCGTCATAATAGTGTTCTGTTGGCGCACAAGGGTTTTCCCGTCGGCGCACAAGCGTACCCACAAAAAAGTCTCAGTGTTGGAGCATAGGGGTTTCTATCGTCGGCAGATAATTGTGTCCTCGGTTGTCTCGTTGGCGCATCATCGTATCCAGTGTTTGGAACCTTGGGGGTTGCCTTCAAAAGGTGCAAAGTATACCGGGATCCCCTGACCCCATCATGCAAGAATGATTCCGCTTAATCTGTGGCTCGCAAGGCCAAGTTGTGTTGCGTTGTGTTGTGTTGTGTTGTGTTGTGTTGTGTTGTGTTGTGTTGTGTTGTGTTGTGTTGTGTTGTGCTGTGCGTGCTGTGTGTTTGTGTGTGTGCGTGTGTGTTGTGCTGGCTGCCCTTCGCTGGGCTGTGTTGTGCTGCGCTGCGCTGTGCTGTGCTTTGCCTGCGTCGTGTTGTGTCGTGTTGTGCGTGTGCGTGTGCGCGTGGGTGTGGGTGTGTGTGTGTGGGTGTGGGTGTGGGTGCGTGTGGGGCTGTGTGGCTTGTGCTTGTGGTTGTGGTTGTGCTTATACGTGTGCTTTTGCTTGTGCTTGTGCTTGCACCTGTTCGTGCGCTCGTGTTTGCTTGTTTGTTTCTGTGTGTGTCTGTGCGCGTGTCAATTTGCATGCACGCAGCCATTTTGGCCTGCCACGAGTCGGTTTAGGAGCTTTGCCAGCCCATGCTCGCTGCCGGTTTCCAGCTTATCTTGCCCGCTTTGGGACGAGCAGCTTCTCCTCTGGGCTGTTTGCGCAGGGCACGAAAAGCATCCTACCTCAGCTGTTCAGGCAACTCGCCCAAGATTCCGCGACACTGTGGGGCCATCATGCATTTTACCAGGATGACAAAACAATCCCCTGATCCACGCAACCGGGGCCCGTCCTCGCCAAAGAATATATATATATATCATATATGGAAAATATGACGTGCGCGCACAAGCGGGCACACATGTGTGGAGTGTGCGTGTCTGCATGTGCAGGCGCATTCACACGGTCATCTGTGTGGTTTTGCGTGCGGGTTTGTATGTGCGCCACTTCATTCACCCAAAGCTACTTTGTATGGCACCTCCCTCATTTTAACCAATCCGGAGGAGCTCTTGCACAATCCTGCATGAATCTGCTGTGAATTCGCTTTGACCCAGGCACATCGCGCACATTGAAGATGAAGCTTGTCCTTTCTCCACTTTATTCGCCTTTTCAGCTCCCCCATGTCGTAGTCTTCGACGTAAACGCCGCCTGGCCAGCAGACGAGAGGCTGGAATTTGTCGGAGGCATCTCACCGCCGAGAATTATGAGGAACGCCAAAGCCAAGGCGCGCCTTCTTTCACCAAGGCAAAGTAGCCGTGCCGCTTGCCCTGCACAGAGGGCAAGGAGTTGCAAAGATGGTGGCTAGATGAAAGCTGGGCATGAAGTTCAATATCTGCCCAGGCCTGCACCCAAGCACCGTAGCCACACCTCCAAATCAGGGATCCGGCACTGGCACTTCGACTTCATGCCCCTCCCCCGAATTTTTACCAAAAGTCGCTGTTTCGGACTATGTCTAAACAGGTGGACCCGGAAAAGAAAAAACAAAGTTCCCCTCCAAGCCCTTTGGGTGCGAGACCAGGAAAACCCCTGCCATTCGCCGGGCCATCCGAGTCAAGGCGCTGCTCCTTGCCCTCCACGATGCTGGACCACATGCCCGGCCCATCTGCGACCCCATCCTGAGATCCCAGAATCGCGCTCAGAACTGAGGAGAAAAAAAACGGGGCGAGGGCGGGGGGGGGGGGGGAGGGAGGCCGAAAAAAAAAGGAGACTCAAAGCCCACTGCTCTCTGCTGGCTTTCCGGGCGTGGCTCTTAGGCTTGCACCGGCTTCTTTATTTTACCATCATCAAATTTAACCTCTAAGGGGCGGCTCAAAGGGACCTTCTTTGGGGGCACCCATGCGAACGCGACTAATTGGAATTTCAAGCTGATCCGCCAGGCATCTCGCCAGACGGCGCAGGCCTGCATGAAGCCCTCGTGATGCTCCAGCACGCCTGGGCCAGAACCGGGGCTTGCTCAACATAAGGGACCCTTCTTTTGGATGGGTTTAAAGGAAAACCAAAAGAGAACGAAAATGAGGGACCCTGTTTTCTTTTCTCTTTTTTAAAAGGGAAGCGAAAAGGAAACGAAAATACGAGGCCCCGTGTTTGGATGGTTTTAAAGGCAAACCAAAAGGAAACCAGCTACCTGGAGTGTTGGATGGTTTTAAAGGGAAACCAAAAGGAAACCAGCTACCTGGAGGGTCCCCATTTAGAGAAACGCCCTGAAACGCAACTAGCCCCCTCTCGCGAACGAAGGACCTTAAAAAGTTTCTCTTGTTTCAAGCTCCAAAGCCATCCAAATGCGTCTCTTTTTGCAAGCTCGTGTTGGCATGTGCACGCAACACAGCCACTACGCGCTATCAACCGGCTGCCAAGCTTCCCCAGCCATGTGGGGTATGCTCGCCCTTCCTCGGCTGAGCAACCCAGCGAACATATCCCACGAGGCTATGACACTTGCACAAGATAACGGCCAACGTATCAAGAAAGTGCACGAGTGACTTTCCAGGCCCCGTCCAAATGCAAACAAAGAAAATGTAGAACATCCATTTCCCGATTTCCCGATTTCCCGTTGCCTCACGCCACGCGTCATGCCAATCCACAGCTACGATTTCCAAAATTGCAGTTGCCCACCCACCAATAAACATGCAACCTGACGTTTTGGGGGGGTCCCGGTTTGGACCTTTGTCCTTTTAAAGGGACCCGGCCCCGAACGTCCGGTTCCAAGTGGGAGGGCAACTGACTGCATCGCAGCGCTCCCTAGGCACCGAGGCTCGGAGTGCCATGCGCCAGCCCGGTGAAGGTCTGATCTCTGCCCCATGGCACCAGCTCGGCGAAGCGGGCGTCCGCAAACTCCGGACCTCGGAGACAACCACCGGCCGCGGGCAGCTTGCGGGCCGCGGGCTGCAACAACACACAAGGCACAGAAGAGAGAACTGCAGCTCGTTTGGTTGACTGAACCGCCAAAGTATGAGATTGAATGTCCTTCTGGGGGGGAAAGGTCCAGAAAAGTCTTGCAGCAAAGCTATTCAGCAAAGCAGTTCAGCTGGTTGTTTTGCTGGTCTCCACCAGGGCATGAGGCCAAACCATCCCCAAAGGTTTCCTTTCAGTGAATCTCGAGGTTCATTCCCAAGCCCGCCATACCGAGCACCATTGCAAGTAACTGAAACAAAGCCCCCCCCAGGCGAAGCCAATGCAGCTGAAGCGGCCTTCGTACAACTGGTCGAAGCGCTGAAATGGAATGTCCCGCATTTGCCTCGCTGACCCAACCCAAACCCCCCCCCCCCCCACCACATGGCAGATAGCGCGCGGATTGCAGCCCAGGGGCCGGTCAAGCGCGGCCTTCACTTCCTCAAGCGTTCGCACGGGCGTCACAAAGCCCGAAAAGAGCCCTGACTTGCAACAGCGAATTAAGCACAAGCTCTTTCCTTTCAAGTTGGACCAAGTTCTTTCCTTTTAAATTGGACCAACAAAACTTGGCCTCCGGCAAAACGATTTGCGACATCTGTGTTTCAACCATTGTGATCGCATGCCCTAGCTTTCCGCTTGGTTCACTTGGTACTTGTTGGCCGCAAAGGCTCCCGTGATTTGCAAGAATGCATAAGGCCATTTGACTGTTGCCTTCCCATCTCTGCAGCAGGGAAGTCTTGAAATGTCCACATTGAAAGCTCGAACAGATCTTCTTATGAGCTCACTGAGCTGGGGCTGGATCGACTGGTTTTTCCTGCCTGTCTTTAGGAAGCAAATCCAAATACACCAAGAGTGAGTCAGGCGCGCGCGTGCACAGCCTCTCTGCTCTGCCAAGAATCCGCTAAGGGGTCATCTTTGCCCTTAGCCTCTGACATTGCGTCCAGAGGCCTCGCCGAAAGGCACGCGTGGATCTGCAAGAGGTGCGAGTCTCTCGTTTTTTTGTAAGGGCTTGCTGCCACTATCGGGCAAGGATGTTGCTCACAGTGCTTGGCTCTTTGATGTCCTTCGCATTAACCAGGCAGAATCAGCTGGCATGGTGTATGGGTAAGTGAAGCGAGTATCACATGTATCTGCCATCTGTCAGATGAGCCTCTCGTAAGACACACTGCCCCCGGGACCCTCCCAGCCTACCAGCGCAACAAACTCCAAGCAGCAGACATGCTGAAGATTTTCTGAATGCCTGCAAATCAATATCTACTTCCCTGCACGCATGTGCGACACACACCTGCAGGCCATAACTATCAGCACCCCAAGGGCCTTTGGCCGCCAGGGGTTCGGGCTGGTCGACGCAAGGATGGGAGCAAGCACCCCATGCCCGGGTCGATGTGGCATCTTCGTTCTTGTAAAACACGTGGCAATGGCAAACCATTCCATCTCAAGGCATCCTGGTGCTTTCTCTTCTCTACGATCAAAAGCAGACCCAATAAGGATAAAGAGCGGCGGCAAGTCCTCCGGAGATGCCCCAGCTCAAAAATAAAAAGAGCCGGTGTGGCACACGCGCGGCCATTTCGGCGGCGCGAGTCTATCCGTTCCTAACTCTGGCGCAAACGAGCAACGCGAGGAGTCGTCCATGCATCTTGCCCACTGCTGCCTGCAGGCAATTGGGCAATGTTTGTCGGGTGGAGGGCCTTATCATGTTTTGACTTGCTTTTGCCATGCCTACGCCGCCTAAGCCAAGAGCGACCACTCCCGCAAAAACACCTACGCGAGACCAACGCGACAATGCGACTCAACACGTTTAGGGGGGCGCCAAACTACTTTGGCAGTACCAGCCAGGAAATCACAACTTTTCAGTACAAGTTTAGTACACGACGTACACTTTTGGCAGCTCCACACAAGCAGCGCAACTTGTCAGTATGGCACACCTTGGGCAGCTCCAGATCGAAAAACGTACTCGAAAGCACACCTTGGCCGCTCCGAAAGTTGCATCGTAGACGTCATGCCTACGCGACGCCTACGCGAAGCTTACGCGAAATTTGCCTGATTTGGGAAACGGCGTCTTTGTTGGACATTCAGACCATCCCCGCAACAGCGCTTCACATCATCCACCCCTTCATAGCACATGCCGAGTAATATCAAGAACATCCTCTTTTAATTTGCTAGGAAATATGCTAATATACAATATAAAAGAATTTAAAATAATATATCACAATTCATTTATTTCTTCCCCAAACATATTAATTCATATAAATATTGATTTATTATTAAACCAAATTATTTTATAGATATAACACCATATAACCCGAATAAATACATAAACATATGTTCATCTAAATGGAGGCTTCACAACACGAGCCTCAGCGAAATGCCGTGTGCGTGGCTACAGGGTTGTGGCCCTACTACCTGCGCAACATGCAAAAACATGTTGCCACGAAGATGTGGGCCTTTATCCCTAAACAAATGCGCTTCTGACGTTTGTTTAAGTGTTGGCAACATGAGCTGTGTCCAGGGTCGATTTGCTCCAAGAGGAAGGACGAGACGAAAAACCGCAGCCATCTGTTGGAAAGAATGCTAAGTCGCAGGATGCAAAGCCGTGCAGCACCCATGGGTTTCTTTTGCGGCGCGCCTGGATCAACCTCCCTGGGATCTGGGAAAAGGCGTGTGAACCTCAGAATCGGCGAATCCGCTGACCCCGCTGACCTCGCGATTCGATGCCCAGCTGGGAGCTGGGCTGTAAGAAGTTGATGCAGCCTCGAGCGCGTTCGCGCGCGCGCGAATTTGGAGGGCCAACGAGGGATACCCAGGGGCACTACCATGGATGACACCCACCTGCTGACCTCGCCCACATGGCGAACCAAAAAAAAACTAAAGGTGGCATGGGAGAGATCATCAAATGTTTCTTTGTGGTCGGCAACTGGCTCGCATTCATGGCTTCCTGCTGAACCTGCGCTACACTCTGTGGATTCTGTGAAGTTGGAGACATGAATGCTCTCTGTGCCCGATTCATAGGGAGAACAAAAAAGCTACACGTGTATATCTACTCCAGTTGAAAAACAGTCATTTGTATACACACACACATGCATTTAGGTTTACATCCAGGAGGCCCGCGCTTCGGCAGCTTGGCTCAAGTGGCCGCCGCTTGGAAGAGCATTGCCAAGCACAGGACGCTTTTCGCACAAATCCGGGCCAAAAAGCCTCCTATCTCCTCTCACTCCTCACCCCGTGGCCTTTTTGCATCCAGGCAGCCCACACCATCCACATCCAGCGCATGGAACAGCTGGTCCGCCGAGACCGCTGCCACTCCCAGCCTCAAGCTGACGCCATGCTCCCGGGAAAGCAGAATCTCAGAAGACCGGCTGCGGGAAACATCTGGGAGATTCTTACAAGAAGAGTGGAGAGAGAGGTACAGTGTTGCAGGAACTGGCAAAGAAAAACGCTCTGAAACTTGTAGCGCCGCACCGTCAAAAGTCAGGCAGCTACTGCGTTTGTCCAACGGCAACTGTGCCTATCGCAAAAAAGTAGTTCGTGTCTTACGCCCGCGTCCGTGTCGCTCATGCCTGATTTGAAACTGCATGATTTTGTAAAAAGACAGACACTTATCCAACACAGTCTGAGGCAAATCGCCAGGCATGCCGCACGTACAAAGCATTCATCTGACTTGCTTAAAGCCCCTTCCAGCATGCAGTAGGCTTTGGGTGCTTTCTTCCAAGCCAGGTCTCAACGGGGCAGGATGAGAAGCACAAACCCGGCACGGACAAGTCGTCTGGGACGCGGTTCTTGGAGCAAACGCCAGGCCGAAGTCTGAAATCTGCAGATTGGGTTCCCCCGCTTCTTGGCAAAGGCACGTAGCTCTGCTTGCGTAACCTGCGCACATCATGCACTACCGTAGGCCCAATCTTCAATTGACATATGAGTCAAGCAAGCCCTTGGGTTTGTTTTTTTTGAGGGAACCCTCCAAAAGGTTAGTGTTCCTTTAGTTTCCCTTTAAAACGACCACCAAACAGGTACCCTCAAAAAAAGAGAACCCCGTATCTTGGTTGCTGTTCACACCCCTGCAAAAAGTTTAACTTTTGGGGGGGTTTAGTGGAAAGCACCTTTGTTTCCCAAAAAGTTAAAGTCTAAAGATCCAACCCAATAGCTGTCAAGATATGTGTCCTTAAGCCCTTTACTCCCGGACTTCCGGGGCCTTCCCATCCTTGTTGGCATCCAGCAGGCGGTAGGCCTGGATGCCAAGCGCGGGCCGCGGGCCGCGGACGCTACGTCGCGGCGCTCGCCTCCTGGAGGCTGCTGCACTTGGACATCAGGAAGCGCCTGGCTGCGAGTCGCAGCCGTCCGCTGGCCACGTGAAGCGCCCCTTGTCTTAGTGATCATTTTCTGTAGGCTGGGATAGTTTGAACTTGATTCAAGCTTGGCTTGAAATACGGTCCGCGTTTAAAACGTTTAATCATGAAAAGTGGAGTGCATTTCCGCTCAAATCCCGAAACTGATTCGAAATCCGTACCTCTTTCAGGTGACTTTGGGGGAGAAAACACACTACTAAAGGCCGATTGCCCCGATCGCAAGCTCTGAGGCGTCGGCTTCAAGACGTCCACAGTCTTGTTGACCTGCAGCGCCGCTCGCTTTTTTCAACCCAACGTGAACTCGCGATCGGTGCGGAAAGTAGGGCATGGGGGAAATATGGGGATTCCCGAATAAAGGAAACCACCAGTTGGATGGTTTGTTGGGGTCATTCCCTCATTCCCTGCTCAGCACCAGCAAGGTGAATGGAGGTGAGGCGAGAAATCGTCCTTAAACTCACCACAAGCCCATCCACCCGGCAGTGCATCATTGATGCCCCGCACAGGCAAGGGGTTTCATCGCGAAAAAGGCAAAAGATAGACGGGAATCGGCGTTCCGATCGGACTGCTTTTGCCAGTCTGCCAAGACCCCACAAACCCCGAAAGCCTGCATGGTGTCCCCGGCGCGCCCCGCGAAAAAAAAGAGGCAAAGATCATCTTGCGCTTGGCGGGTGCTTCGCGTGCCACGCACGCAGCACCAAGCCTCCATGCAGGCGATGGGGTCCGGGATCACAAGCACCGGAGGCTGCGACAGCGCACGGAAGTTGCGCCTCGCGGTGAGATTCCCCCGCGCCGAAGCTCACCCAGTGATTCCATTGAGGGTCAAGATGACCCAGGTTCAACCAGCTTTTGAAAACTAGAAGGGCATGTATCGCAATAGGGCGACCCTTCAACAATCTGCGCTTGTCCGCTTGGCTTCCCTTTAAACCGTGCTGAAAGGGCAGCCTCAAAAACCCACACGCCCACAAGAAAGCTGGCTAGTCATGCTCATTCACCCCATGGCCGCTTCACACATCTCTTGGCCCCACACCCCAGAATGGACTCAAAGTGCGACATGAAGACGGTGTACTCCAAATCCCCGCGGCCATCCTGGAAGGCTGATGGACCAAACACATGGCGGGGCCATGTAAATCGAGGAGCTGACGCTGACCCAAAAAGGTGGGGAAGAACTGCGCTCGGACCGCGTGGCAAACATGATGCAAAATGGTCTGCCCCTCTTTTCTCTCCCTCTCCCTCTCCCTCTCTCTCCCTCTCCCTCTCTCTCTCTCTCTCTCTCTCTCTCTCCCTCTCTCTCTCTCTCCGGCGTGAGACTGGGCGCCTGGCTTGAAATGCCCGTAGTTCACAGCCAGCCAGCGCACACACATAAACCATCCGAGCCGATGTGAACCAAAACGAACTGAACTAAAAACCGAACCAACCAAGCAATGAACCAACTCATCACGGCAGGGAAAGGCCACGCAGGGGCTGAGCGACAACCCCAACTCAGCCCAGCTTGACATTCATTCATTGAGGCCTAAAACTCTCCGCGCAAAGGCGCAGAGCTAAGAACCCCTGAAAGGGTACACATCTTGGACTGACTAGTCCCACTCCCAATCTGGTCCTTGAGCAGGTCGTACACCCAATCGGCAACCTCCTCAGAAGTTGATCACAGGCTTGCGAGCTTTCAAGATCATGGCAGGCCTGCGGGTGCCCAAATCCTCGGAAGAAGGCACACAGCTCATCCCGAGAGATTCTCCCCAGCCTGCAACGCGGCTTGGGATCGCTAGCTTGCTGCAATGTCCGGCACAAGTCGCATGAAGTCCGTTCTTGTGGATGTCCACGTGATCGGCTTAATAGATTCACGTACAAAAGAGCTCCAAGTGGCTATGTTTCTCCTTCCGAACCCTCGGCAGCCCAGCCTCTGAAGGTTCAGCGGCTTGAAGGCATCACGAGGTTGCCGGAACTTCAGCAAGAGCTTGTCCCCCACGTCCTACGCCCCGACCCGGCTGCGAGCTACCCTTGGGGGTTGAAGAGCATTCAACCAAAAGAAGCGGCGATCCCGCAGATCCCGCAAGCTCTGCAACAAGAAAACTGTCCGAAGACCTTGCAGAATGCCGCGTCCTGCATCAGTTTCCGCAACCGGGCGCGCTCCGAAAACGGCACGCGCTGCGCCCGTTCCTTGCTTGTGGCCTCCGCAGAACGAAGACAACCAGGGGCGACAATGTGGCAAAAGCCCGCGTGATGTGTTGTTTTTTGATTCTGAAGATTGGGCCTTTCGGAAAAAGCTTGCCACAAGCAGCCACAAGCAGCTCTTGCAGCTTTGAATCTTCAACTCCACCCCACCCACCCACCCACCCTCCACACACACACACACGATAAAGGAAAAGAGCCCACACCGAGGCAAAGCCCAGCCAGCTGCTGCAAGCCACTTGGGTTCCCCTACCCTCGACGAAGGCACAGGCGTGGCTTCGCGGGAGGTCCTGAGAAAACGAATCCCTTGAGCTGGCGCTGGCTGCGGCGCAAGGCGAAGGGGCAGACCCATGGCTGCGGGTCACAAATAGGTACCCGAAATGGAACACTAAGTGGAAACATGGACCAAAACCTGCGGTCCAACTCGTGGTGGTTTAAGTTTGAACCATCCCCAAATAGGGAAGGTGGGACTGAAACCGGAAATTCCCTTAACGGAAACTATTTGGGATGGTTTATAAGGTCCTTCCAGCTCATTCTGCGGCTTGCGAGGTCTTTTGACCAGGGCACAGTTGACGGCATCCCCCCATCTTGGCACCGGCTCTTGGCACCGGCTGGGGCCAGCCAAAACAAATCGCACAAGTACCAGCTCAGTTACCGCATCTTGTGAAGCAGGCGATCTTTGTAGGCACCCCCGTGCAATGGTGGTTGCAAGCCGGTCGCAAATCGTTTACTCACTTAACCAACAGAGATGGCCACGGGATACAAAGAGAATCCATACCCATTCCCATACCCATGGCTTAATTTTGACGCATACCCACATGACCATGGGGCGTAACCTGTGGCTGCATTTTGGGGTGGATGAACATCCATTTGCCACCTGTTTTGACGTTCACGGGGGTACAGGGTTTTGAGCCACAGCCATATTAATCAACCCCCCTATCAACAGGATGGCTTAGGACTCTGTGGTTCTCTCTAGGCGCATGAAAATCACAGGAATGATGATGACCCCGTATCAACCAGTTTATGAATAAGGGGGTGTTCCCCTCCAGTAATAATGATTCCCCCCTAAAACCAGGGACACCCCCCCCCTGCCAAGTAATAAGCCGGGGTGATATGGGGTCAACATTATGAATTTCTATCAGGACCCTTTTGCTGGACATCATAGTGGGGATTCATGTCCTCCAGTAACTTTTTAGGTCCCCAACAAAATTAACATAGCCAGTTCAGTTTGGACCCGAGTGGCAGCTTGGTATCGAAAAACGAAGGTACGACTGGGAAGCTCTGCACAAACCACGGCCCGCCCAGTTGTACAAAAGTCACATGATCCACAATCAAAACCTGGCATGAAGATGGTCTACCCAGAACCAAGTAAAGAATGAAAAAGCCGGCTATCCGCACCTAGTTCTAGACGCCCTTGACCCTCATCTGCCCGTGTTTTGAGTGTGGCTCACGTGCTTGAGCTTTGGCAGTCCTCTCCGAAGGCGGCGTGGGAGCCCGAACTCGCTGGTCCTTGAGGGGCAGATTTTTTTGTGTTTGGAGGGGCCACTTGCTGGGCAAGGTGACTGTCCAACTGGGCAAGGCGGCTGCATTCATTCCCGTTCATTTGGGCGGCGCCACAGCTCACAGCTCTGAGACATTGCTAGAAGCCAAATCATTCAAAGGCCCTCCACTTCCCCCTCAGGCCCTCTGCCAACTCCAAACCAAAGGTAAGCAAAGCAAACAGACACGGTGCGATGGAATCGCACGAATGGAATGGCGATGGGTCAAAATCCCGTACCCCCAGTGAACATCTCAATCCCCAATAAAATAGACTAAAATGGGTGGGTACCATTGGTTTTGACCCACAGCCCAATGGATTCTCGGGTGCCTGAGGGCCTTCCGCACCTTCGCCTTCAGCACTGGCTGTACAAGCTTCCACGGCCAACAACGACCTGGGTGAAACCGGTTTCCTCGCTTCAGAGTCCAAGTAACTCGTCGGAGGGCAGACCTCAGCCGGGGCCTTGTGACCAAATTCTGGGGGATGGCGGCGGGGGGGATCCTCTGTCCAGGAAAACCCGCTGGAAATGGAAACCAAAGGAAGGCCAATCATTTCGGGGCTTGTTTGAATCCGAACTCACATGGCTGTGGGTCAAAACCCAGGAAACCCCTGGTGAACATCAAAATAGGTGGTCCATGGGTGTTCCTCCGCCCCAAGATGGGATCGCCCTAGCTTCTGACCCATGGCCATACCGCCGCGGCATGGATTCCTTCGGGGGGACGCCCTCCCGCCTTCAGAACTTCACGCCGGCACCAGCGTGTTCTCGGCGGCGCGGTAGACCAGCTCCAGCTTCGAGCCGCCGGCACAGCCCTCAGAATCTCGCCGTCTGGCACCCCCCTTTGGTTTGAATGGCTGGAAGCCCCAGTGGCCTTCACATGGGGGACCTGCAGGCTGGGAGATCAGTCCCCTCTTTTTCGGCCGCCTGTGCCATGAAAACGTGGGAGAGCGGGTATCCCACGTTCAGCCTATGGCTGCGACTACCGCGTCGAACTGTTCAAGGAAAACCCCAAAGACGGCAAAAAAGCGCTGGAGGCTTTTGGCATTGGGAATCCATCGCCGGGTGTGATCAATATTCTGCCGCCTCACACGAAACGCCGGCGAAGGCACACTTGGACAGAAATAGGCATGTGGATTTGTTGATTTTGTACCAGCATTGGCTCTACGCTTGTTTGCGTGGAGCTTGATGACTGTAGGCCCATCTTTGATTGGCCTGCTCCCCTGCTATCGCAAGGCTGAGCTTATTGCCGTGTTCAGCTGCCATCACGAACGCTCGTCCACAAATTGGCAAGAATCGGCAACTCCAACATGGGTTCCAACTTGCAACACCTGGGAGTGTCTCAAAACTAGGTAACCCCCCAAAACGGAGGTTGTTCTTGTGGTTTCCTTTTAACATCACCCCAAAAAGGGTACCCTCACAAAAGGACACGACTTCTGCGGCCCTGCCTTCGGCACTGATATGTTCTTCTGGCTCCCATCGGGCACAGTGACCGCCAGCAACTGGCCTGCACTTGTTTTCTTGCCCCCAAAAAAGCAACCCGGCACTCCCAGAAATTCAAAACGCGGAAAAAGCGCCCGCGCCTTCTCTGACGCCCGCTGGAATGACGATTTCCAAAAAGACCTCAGCGGCACCACAACGGCCAACCGGAACCTGTGTCGTCAACATGCCAACAACGGGAGGCAAAATTGAGGTCTTGAATCACAGCCTCTTCAGTCGTCATCAAAAACTGATAAAGAGGCTCACCCCAAACCAAGAGAAAGAGCGGCTGCCCAATGTGGTTGGGACTGTCTGGCCTTCAACCTGGGTGTTGCAACTCACTGTCTCCGAGCAGCATCCGACGCCACCTCCGGCGGCGGAGCTGGAGGGGCCGGCGGAAGCGGAAGCGGAGTCGGCGGCGCCGGGGTTGGGGGGCCCATCTGCCGCCCCGCCTGCAGGAAGCCCTGCAACGCGGGGGCCCAGTCGCCCGCAGAGCGCGGGTGCTCCACCACCCGCTGCAGCCAAAGCTCTAAACCTGCTGCTCAAATGCCCCCCAAAAAAATCCCACTGACGAACGGGGGGAAATGTGTCTCACGGGAGTGCCGATTGCCTGCCTCCCAAGTTGGGGCGCCAAGCTCCCCAAATAGGTTTGTCTCCCTGAAAACGAAAAGGGGCTGCCCCCCCCCCCCCCGAAGAAAACCACACCGCGCCGACCTTGCCGGCGGAGCTCCAACTTGGGGCCGCTGACGCGCAGCCCGTCCTTCCGGGGGAAGGGCGCCCCCGGGAACGACGTGGAGCCCCGCAGCTGCTCCTCGGGGCTCGGGGCTCGAAACTCAGGAGGGGTGGAGAAAAATTATGCGGCGGGCTACGGGCTGGGTGGTTGGGGGGCGGGGGCCTGCGCATTCTCTATGAACAGCCTGAGAGTGAGGGATACTGCTTCAAACAAATGTGCAGATTGGACATCGCAAGTCTCACGGCCTCTTGCCCTTTGCATGGTGTGGGGGTTGGTTTGCTGGCCGCATGGCCGGCGGCCCTCCTTGAGCTCATGGAAGTCGTTGTAGCGGCGCATGACTCTCCAATGCCCGCTTTCGGCGGCTACTTCCACGGCAAAGAACGTCACGGAATCCCGCAGCTCCAGTAGCCTTGCTAAGCCAACGTGGCACGTGGCCGCAACAAGCAGCGGAGCGCTCTTAGACCGGCTGAGTCATACGTGAAGCCCACAGGAAGGGCTAGCCATAGCTGCCAAGTGACTGAGGTGGCAGCCGCACGGCGAAGACGCCCAGCGGCTGCGTGCTTGGCGCCACCACGTCCCCAAGCTGCGGCGCTGGGGTGGCTCGCGGCGCAAGCTGCGGCGCGAGCCGCGCAGGCGCCACAATGGGAGGCGCTTGAAGTGGAGCTTGTGTGGGAACTCCAACTGCGGGATGCATATATATATATATATATATACATATATGCTTGGCCAAACGACTTGTGCTTGGCCAAACGGCTTGTCATTTCAGCTCCTGGCTTCCTAACGATGGCATTTTGGGCGAGGCCGACTTGCGTGCAGATAAACCCTGGGGTCTAAAAAACCAGCCGAAAGGCGTTGATGCATTCGACTGTCTTCGACTGCATGTGCGAAAACCTACCCCGCCCCGTTCCCGCCTTGCACCCTCTGTGGGTAGCTTGGCAGCACCAGCACCTGCTGGGGCGGAAGGGGCGCCCGATGCGCCCGAGACCGGGAGATGGAGGACACCACCGCTGCGGTTGCGCCACCCACCAACGCCTCATGGGCCCAGCTTCGCTCCAAGCCGTCCGGAACGGGAAAAAATAGACTTCTGAAGGGGTGGACTCTTGTCAGTGCACAGCAAAAGGCTGTGCTGCACCACAAAAATGTGCAGCTGGACGCAATGCAAAGCAGCAAACACAAGCAAACCTTGCCAGTCCCTGGTGGGGTAACTGCTTCCGCTGCCACTCCCACTGGCCCAAGCCCGTGATGGTCAAAGTCCATGGCTTGCGACTCAGCTTGCTGCCTCCTTTTTTCACTGAGCCAAATGCAGTTGGACACACCTTGGCCGTGCGACCTGTTTGTAGTGTTCGTATACTCAAGGCTGACCTTCCTGCACACCCAACCTAAGGCTGACCCACTCAGCCCTCTCCTTCTTCATGTCAGCAAACTCCTGGCGCGCACGGACACCTCTGCATATGGCAACGGACCCCATGCGAACCTCCAATCTGCGCAACCATCTCCCGTCCTCAGTGCTGATGTAGGGCGCCAAGCTTTCGCGCAGCTCCTGGGCGTCAAAACCCTCCCAAATGTTGACCCCATATCAACCCCAGTTCATTTTGCGGGGAAATGTTCGCCTCGCAAAGTGGTCTGATCCCCCACACCCAAAAGCACCCCCCCTATTAAACTGGGGCTGGTTCATATGGGGCCAACCTTCGGCCGGTTCCGCGCCCCAGCCCCGCCGCTACTCCCAGCATCGCAGCTCCGCTCCTGGAAGGAGATCTCCCCAGAGCCGTTGGTGTCCACCGCGCTGTGGTACTTGTTGGCCAACTCCTGGATTTCGCGGTTAACGCGAAGTCATGGAAACGAGGCGGAGAAGGAAAAAAACAAAGGGGGGGGGGGGGGGGGGCAAGAAATCTCGGCGGCGAACTCTGCTCCCCTGCAGAAGGAAGTTGTTTATATAACTTTGGTGGTTTAATGGACAACCCATTAGTTGGCAAAAAGTTAAAGTCCTAACATCCAAGCAAAATGCACCAAAGAAATGTCTGTTCGCTCGCGGAACTCCTCCGGGATGTTGCAGAGGCGGAACAGGTACCGCGTCTCATTCCTAGCCAGGGGGGGGGGCACTCCTGCCACCTCAGCCACGAAGCAAAAGCTGCACAGGTCCTCGTCATGATGCCATTCCTGTCCAAGTCCTCAGGATGAAAAATATGAGCCTGCTGCTGACAACACCCAGGTGTAAGCAATTTCTTTGAAGGATTTGAGGGGGCTCTGGTTTGGCTGGTCACGGCTGGGAGCGCATGTCATAAGAGCGGATGGAAGCACGGAAGGGCATCGCACGCCCCCGTTGTTCACGCCCACCGCTTGTCATCCACTGGCGTGAAGTTGAAATCACTTGAAGACATTGCACGTCATGACATCATTGTTGACTCAGCTTTGCCATGACACACCTGTGTACATGTTCTAAGTGGCTGGCCACATGCCGGAATGCTGCGCTCAAGCTGCCAAGCCGCTCCTGCACCTGACACATGGTTGTTCTTCTCCCTTGGATTTGTGAAATGGTGACGTTCATGGAGGGGGGAGGCAAAACTCAAATACTGTTGATAGTCGTAATCGTACCTACGCAATGCCTACTATTTTCATTCTTGCGCGTTCACCTGTCATACATACCAAGGTATACATAAATTCCAAGAATGGTTGTGAGTTTGTCGTCGAACCTCATGAAATGTGTGACATGCTCTGACTCAACAAACAGACGTTGAAACATGATATGTCTGCAATAAAACTCAATCCAATCTCATTACATATCAGCACTTAAATCTTACAGACCATCCGCCAGTCCGAACATTAAGGAGGCACAATGGGGAGCTAGTGACGCGCTTGAAGGTGGTATCTTGCCGGCTGCTCAGGAGCCGGAAACATGACGATAACGTTGCCCCCATACTAGTCAACCCCCAGTTTAATAGGGGGTGTCCCTGGGTGAAATGTCGGGAATCATAAACTAGAACATTCTTCCTGACTTCTTGATTTTGCTGTCATTTTCATGCGCCGTGAATGTCGATTCTGTACATGCGCTGGTCTCGTGCAATCCAACCTGTACAGCGGCAAACCTCCAGCCAGGCGACAAACGCATTGGATGCTGCAGGCGACAAAATGCCTTGGGTACAAGCAGCAGGCGGACAGCTGGCTGCTTGCGCATGGGGTACCTATCTACGACTCTCCCGACTGGCGCGTTGCCGCAAGCGCGTCTCCAAGTCTTTCACTTTGCCATGCCCCAGCAGCAGCGGCCCTATGTCCGGCACCTCCTTAAGGTCGGCATACTTGTCCGTTAGGATCTTCAGGGCCTCGTGGAAGAAAGCGCCGTCGCTTGCGGCAAACAACTTGTCAGCGTTGAGCTGCACGTCCAACTTCGCAAGGAGCCGGGGCGCCGCACGACACTTGAACCAATGCGTTCCCAGCAAGTGTAAGGCGCCAGGCAGCTCGATCGGCTTCGGCTCGCCTCCGACTTCGTTCCGGTAGTCGGCCCAAAGTTGGTCAAGAGAGAGGTGCGGGTGGCATTCCTCCGGGAGCAAGCCCACCAAGGCCTCGCGAACCTCCACGTCCGTTGAGAGGGACATCTCGTTCAACTGCTTTGCGATCTGGCTGGCCTTCCCCTGAGGAATCTCGAGGCGCTTCGAGGTCTGGTACTTGAACGCGTTCCGCAAACGGTTCACCGCCTTGAGCTGCACCAAGTCGAAGCCCTGCATCTTCAGCTCGCAAAGCGCCTCAGGCAGCCAAGGGGCCACGAGCTCCTCCTTTTCTTCGTACAAGGCTTCCCTCGCTAAATCCAAAAGCCGCACGAAGGCAAAGGCGTCCGCGAGCTCCTCGTCCTTGTCACTCAGCCCCTTCATGTAGCGTTGGTAGAGTTCCTGCAACCTGGGCATGGGGCTTCCGGTCCCTTTGGCTTGAGGGGGAAAACCAAAGGAAAACCAACATTTTGGGGCGGGGCAGGGGGGGGGTTTAACCCCATATTTTGAGACAAAATCACACGCATTTTGGGGGCAGTACCCATTCTGAGACAAACACATGTGTCAAAGTGCCACAGAGAAGAAACAAAAATGAAGAAGAAAAAAACGGAACCTGGCTCGAACGGCCAGCGAACGGCTTGCCGCGCAAAGCTGGCCTGGGGAACTGCCCACTGGTGACGAAATCCTGGAGCGAGCGATTCTTCTCCAGGGCGTGCACCACATTATTTCGCTCCTTGCAGGGGCTGACGAGCGACTTGCAAAGCGGCGGCTGCTTCGCATTCCGTTCAAAGGGGTGAACGGCCCGAAATTCTACCATGAATGTCCAAGTCCTGCGGCAAGTTGAAACTATCCTCCAATGTCAACATAGCCGTTGCTGATAAAGAGCTTGCGACGGCGTTGATGTTCTACCAAAACAAAACAAAATCACCATCATTGCCTCAATCTCGTCTAACAGACTGGAAGGTTTCTCTAAATGCACTGTTGATAGTTGACTGTTGGACTTACAATTCGGTATCGCCTTTCCAATGTCTCTTCTCACTCTCATGCGCACCCTATCCTACACAAGCAACAAAACGGTTTTGCCACGACAGCATTCCAGTGACCACCACGAGCCAACGAAAGAACCAAAGCTCCTCCACAATCCGTCCCCCTTCAGAGCAGGCCAGCTCCTGCGAAGTGCCGCGGACCCCTGCCTTCAACTGGTCAACACCAACATGCAAAAGTCCCCATGGCAAAACTTCACACCTGACTCTGGACAAAAGACATCAGCAAGCCATGCAAGCTCCTGCAGGTCGAAAAAGGCCAGCAACAGCGCGCGGCATTGCATGAGATCCAGCATGTTTCACAAAGGGGATTCCGGATTGGCGGGTCTTGAGGCATCTGCTGCCTTGATCTGGACCCCAGATTCTCAAGGTGTTTGCTCGAGTCTCCACAATGCATCCTCCATAATCAAGCAGGGGAACAAATGAAGGGATGTTTGCCGAAGGCGAAGGATTCCCTCTCACACGGGACACCTAAACAAGTAAAACAAATTGATTCATCCTGGGTTCCCACTAATTATTCACCTCAAAGGCCCGTACTTCTGACAACACAGTGGGCCACTGTCCAGAATGCTGACTGCAAGCCTCCACGAATTTGGCGGAGGGCTTGTACAACACTTGCTCATGTCACCATGGGCGTAAAGCAACACAGGCTTGCTGAAGGGTAGCGCCCCTTCTGACGGAAACAACGAGAAGCCCGAGATAGCAAAGTACCACAAGCAAGCATAGGCCGAATCAAATGGCGGCGATTTGCCCTGTCTCTCAAGACTGCCTGCCTTTCTGGCCAGCACCCTCAGCGTGTCCTGCACGTGCATGTGGCATCTGAAGTGAGTTGCATGCGCACGCGCACACTCGGACACACACACACACACAAAAACAAACACACAAACACACACAGGCAAACACAAGCACATACACCTACACATCTACACACCCACACACCCTACACACCCACACACCTACACACCCACACACCTACACACCCACTCAACACCTTCTGTTGAATGCAATGCAGCGCACCTGGGCGGATACACCGCTCAAAACCAAAACTGGAGGCCCCACGGACACGGGATGCCTTTGAGGAAAGCCAAACAGGAAACCAAACGGTTTTTTTGAGGGGCTGTGAGACAAACCCAAACACTCCAAACAACCAAAAGAGAGACACCGAACAATGCGATGCGAATCCGCACCTGAAACTTTGCATCAAAGGTAGCCAGCCTCAGAGAACGTGGCATCCACCGAAGCTTTTTAAGCTGGCTGGGAAGCGCTTAAGACTTCCAAATCAGCAAATCCTCCGCAAGAACCACCTGGAGGCTAGGCACATGGCCCATACCCCAAGTTGACCATCTCTCGGGTCCCCGGCTGCTCTTGACCCTCTTCAGTTGCATCGAGCAAACCTTCCAGGACGTAGTCCAGCCTCGCCAACAGACCAAAGCCTTGCAGTTCTTGGTTGACGTTGGGTTCGGGGAGCAAAAATCTAAACTTTAGCAATTAAGTGGGGAGTTGCCACTAAACCACAATAAGCAAAAATGTAAAATGTGTCCCAACAACCACCATGAGTTGACCTAACGCCTGTTGGCAGTGGCAGAAACCAGCTACAAAAACAGGTATGGCTCTAGGGGAAGCACAACACACTTCGACTGCCCATTGCCAAGGCCGCGGCGCCCCTTTCCCTTTTGTCAAGTCGCCTGACAAACTGAGCATGTCTCACGTCATGTGGCAACAAATTAGTTAGATGGGAACTTCTGGCAACAAATTACTTAGACAACACCTTGGCCAACACCTGGTCGACTTCCTGAGCCGAGCACGCGCAGTCAGCGGCGTGCCATTGATGGCGCCCTCCAAGAACGGCCGAATAAAGTTCACCTGGGCCCAGTGTTTCACCACCACTCTGTGGTGCCAACGGCGCCTGTCAAAGCCTTGGGCCCGGGCAAATTTGGCATAGTCAAGCTCCCCCAGCTTCTCCTACCGGCAAAAGTCGCAGAAAAACTGCTGAGCTGACCTCATGCGGTCCTCGTCTAAGTAATCAAAGAACTTGTCGGCGATTTCGTCGGTGAAGTTGTAGCCGCGGAAAAAATGTCGAACCTGGCCATGCACACTGCACTGCACTTGCTGCCGAGGGCCCCCCACAGGTCCCACAATGCAGATGCAAGGTCCTCTTTTCGCCGCTTTTGGGCCTTGCATCGGCATGGCCGCGTGCCCTGCTCTCCGTCTCGGGCGCGCAATCTCATCCGCCTGCGCGAGCACCGTGACTTGTTCACGTTTGCGTCCCCCGCGAGGCGCTACGAGGCCCTACGAGGCCAACGGCGACGAAGTGCCGGCGCTGGCCGTGAAGAGCCAAACCGTGCGAGAGGCGCTACTGCATGACCGCGTTGTTGGCCATCAGCTCCGCCAGCTCCCGTTCAGACTCGCCGCCGCCCAAATCCCGGTAGACCAGCTTCAGGGCCGGGGGTGCGTACAGGGCATCCGTCTCAGTGCCGCCCACCATCTCCACGTCGATGCAATAGCAAATGGTCAGAGCATTGGATGCCATCGTGATCAGGTGAAGCATGCCATCGCCTACCCACAAACCGAAAAGAAAGAGTACCGGCATTGCAAGCAGTGGTGAGTGCTCCGGCGTCACGAACATATGCGACACGGAATCTTTCCTCGGCTCCGCTATCTGGCCTTTGCAAGGTGAAGAAAGCCTTGTTCAGGCAAGGTGCACCGTGAGCGTCTCCACTTGGTGATAGACTCCATGCCGCGGCTCGCGGAACAAGAAGAAGGCCCAGATCATGCTCGTCAGCCCAACGCTCATCTTGAGGAATGTTTCGATCCTGGCGAGTGAACATGATGGCACCGCCCCCAGCAGCTTCAATGCTAGCGCGACAGAAGCGGGTGAGGGATCAAAAAATACACTTTTTAGGCAAAAAAAAAAACTTGTTCTTTAAGATCCAAAAAACAAAAGCGCCCACATCATGAGCACCCCATCCTGGACGTGAACTTGGTCAAGTGCGGAATCTTCCCCCGGGATCTGTTGAGTAGCCCCTCCGTGCGGCGAGCAGAGTCCATATACTTGAAACCCTTCAGCGCCAGCATCACTATCACGCTGTCTTTGTAGAAGCGCAGGAGGAGGAGGTCGATTTTGATCAGGGGCCAGAAGAGGTAGAAGGCGATTCCTGCAGTTTGGGCGTTGCATTGGCCAACCCAAGAACCTGCAACGCGCTACAGGGAAGAAAAGAAACAAATCGCCAGGCGGCGATACTGCTGGTTGAGGGACTTGTCGAGGTTCGGCCTGTCTGGCACGAACAGCCCGATCCTGAGCCGCGCGACGCGAACGGCTGGGCCGCGGACGGGTGGCCCGAGATCCAACCCCGCGGAGCAAGTTCTGCACAGCGGCACGCTGCGCAGGAGCCGGCAGGGAGCAGACATCAGCGCAGCCTTGGCAATGCTCCCCAGATGAAATCCTCGGATGTCTCATCTGAGATCCAAACAGCCGGAAGTGAGGCATCTGTTTGGGCTCGCCGGAGATCAAATCTAAGCAAGTAGACAACGGACTGGATGCATGGGCGCATCCAAGCCCAAGCTTAGGCCGAGCGTCTGAATATGGAGTACACGGCAAATCGAATGGGCGCAGGCCGCCCACTGTTGATCTCCTGCATCTGTGCATTGCGGGCCTTCAGGTGGAAATAATTGGCACAAATGACCTGGGCAAACCAGGCATAGCTCGCGGCAGCTGTCATCCCATGGGACCGATCCGGCACGAGCCGAGCCCGCGCGCCTGGGAGGTCATGTACTTGTTGCTGAAGGAAAGGAACTCCAGGACCCAAAAGACTCCGAAGACATAGAAAAAGACGCCTTTCAGGAAGAAGGGCGACCAGGCAGTACGAGGCACGAAGTGCACCTCCCCAAAGAGCCGCAGCTCGACCTGGAAGCCACGCTTCAAATGAAGCGCTCCATAAGACATCGGCGAGAAAATGGTTGCACACCCCGCAACCCACGAATCAAAAACGGCCTTCCCTTTTAGCAATCGCACGTCAGGTGATTGTCAGCCGCCCGTTGCCTCCACAGGCGTGACGATGCTCATGAGCAGCGCAAGGCTCCTCACAACGTGACAGGGAACTTTTGGGACAAGGAGACCCCTGGATTCATTGCCTGATTCCCTACTTACCGCACCAGCAAGCAAACCCGTGAGCCAAAACGAGAGACTCCTCCCCCCCCCAACCAAAAACAATAAGAAAAACAAAAAACACGGCTGTTGCTTTTTAGTGTCAGAGTTCCAGGGGCTCGGAACTCAAATTGGGCCGGTGTCGTGATTGAACGAATCGAAAAACAAACACACAAACAAAACTACAAACAAGACCTCAAAAAAACAACAAAGCCCCCCCCCCCCCGGTACTTTTGAACCCCCCCAAAAAAAAAAAAACGAAAAAGGCACATTCTCACCCCCCAATTCCAAAAAAGAATCCCCTGGCCTGCAGGCGTGGAGGATGAAGGCGATGCGCAGCACGGAGAAGGCCACGGCGGCGAAGACGGTCACCAGCACGTTGGGGTCCGCGAGGGCGGCCACGCACTCGCGGAAGACCGCGGCGCGGCTCATGGCCGAGAGACTCGTGGCCAGCACCAAGAAGAAGCCCAGGCCGCCTTCGAAAGAAGAAAAACACGGGAGGGAGGCATCAGTTGCTGGGCTTTTAAAGGGGAAACCACCGGGAAAACCATCATTTTGGTCCCAAAGACAGATTTGCTTGAACCATCATTTTGGGGTCTCCAAAGACAGACCACCGGGAAAACCATCATTTTGGGGTCCCCAAAGACAGACTTGCTTGGTTTCAAAGGGAAACCACCGGGAAAACCATCATTTTAGTCCCAAAGACAGATTTGCTTGAACCATCATTTTGGGGTCCCCAAAGACAGACCACCGGGAAAACCATCATTTTGGGGTCCCCAAAGACAGACTTGCTTGGTTTCAAAGGGAGACCACCGGGAAAACCATCATTTTAGTCCCAAAGACAGATTTGCTTGAACCATCATTTTGGGGTCCCCAAAGACAGACCACCGGGAAAACCATCATTTTGGGGTCCCCAAAGACAGACTTGCTTGGTTTCAAAGGGAAACCACCGGGAAAACCATCATTTTAGTCCCAAAGACAGATTTGCTTGAACCATCATTTTGGGGTCCCCAAAGACAGACCACCGCGAAAACCATCATTTTTGGGGTCCCCAAAGACAGACTTGCTTGGTTTCAAAGGGAAACTACCGGGAAAACCATCATTTTAGTCCCAAAGACGAACAAATCGTTTTTCAACCCCGGATTTCTTGGGCCCGAACAACTCGTTTTTGAGCCCCGGGAGCAAAAACGATGTTGGGCCCGAACAAATCGTTTTTTAGCCCCGGGAGCAAAAACGATTTGTTGGGCCCGAACAACTCGTTTTTGAGCCCCGGGAGCAAAAACGATTTGTTGGGCCCGAACAAATCGTTTTTCAACCCCGGATTTCTTGGGCCCGAACAACTCGTTTTTGAGCCCCGGGAGCAAAAACGATTTGTTGGGCCCGAGCAACTCGTTTTTGAGCCCCGGGAGCAAAAACGATTTGTTGGGCCCGAACAAATCGTTTTTCAACCCCGGATTTCTTGGCTCGTTTTTGAGCCCCGGGAGCAAAAACACGCAGGCCTCGTGGAAAGGTTTCCCGAGTCACCACACAGGCCTCGTGGAAAGGGCTGGCTGGCCGACATTTTCTTTTGAATCGAAGCGAAGCAGCCAGGGCCAAAAAACGATTTGTTCGGGCCCAACAAATCGTGGTGACTCGGGAAAGTTCATGGAGCCATCCCACGAAGCGCAAATTCTTGCGGCTCAAGTCCTCCCGGGCTCTGCTGGCAGTGTTGTGCCTCTTGCGGGCTTGCAAGCCCGGGGTGCGGAAACGATGCCCGAACAAATTGTTTTTTGCGAAAACCACTGTTGGGCCCAAATCGCTTGAGAGCAAAATATTTCTACACGCTTTTGACGCTCCAAAAATGTTCCACGCCCTTCCGCGGCGCAAATCTCTTAGTCAAGTCCGCCGGCCCTTCACCAAGCTTCCGCGGCCTGCAGAAAACCTTCCGCGCGGATTGATTTCAGCGCTCCCTTGCTTAAATTGCTCTGAGCTTTTTTGATCGCTGCTCAGGTGTCAGGTTCAAGACCAAAAGGGCTTCATATGGTTTGGTGTCCCGGGGCGAAACCTAGGAGAAAAAACATGGCCTTCAGTTCTTGCACTGGGGCTTGAGCTTGTTCTGATTTAGAATCAAGTAGTTGCGGCGGACAAGAGTAGCGACTGCGCCACAAAAGCTCAAGGAGCGTCCTTAGCAGAGCAGGCCGTGGTTTTGGAAATGATTTGAAACGCGTCTATGCCAAAGTGGGCCAGCCCCTTGCCCATCAAGGCAGCAGCCCTCTCTGCACTCCCTCCCGCTAACATGGCACCTACCCCAGTCCCTTCAAGAGTAATTTGATCTTCCAGGCCCCTCCCCCAGGTGCCTCCCAAATCCGCCATTGGTGACAAAAAGTGCCCATCTCCCGCACCCACAGAGCTGCTTCGACCAGAAGGCCCCCCCCCCGCCCCACCTTCCGCAGGCGCGGGGCAAGCAGCCGCCGGGCCTCGCGCCAGAGACCAGATCGGCCCATGGAGGTCAGCAAGGACTGCCTCGACAGATCGAGCCGGTCGCCGGTCCCTGTGCGGCCGAAACGGGAAAGCGGGGGTTGTCCCTAAAAATACGGGGGAAATATCGGGGGACCCCCGAAAAAAAAATGGGGGGACCCCCAAAAATTTTAGGGGACCCCAGAAAATGGTAGGGATTGTGGTGTTGCTTCGATTTTCGCACTTTGAAACCATCCTTTAAGGGTTCCCCCTAAAAACAGACACCCCCCCAAATCTGATAAGCGACGTCGTTGGGGAAAGAAAGGACCCAAAAAACATGTGGCTGTGGATCAAAAATAGGGTAACCCCAAAATGGAACCCTGGTAAGTGGCAACATGGACCAAAGCCTGCGGTCCAATTCCTGGTGTTTGAATTTTGACCCACAAAACCTCCCAGCACTGGTCAAGGCTTGGAAGGTGCCGCGCGCCGCGCCTCGCGCTGGGCTCAGCCCATGGAAGCAGCCACGCCGCCTTCTGCCAGCTTCGGGCCGAGGCGCAAGACCTCACGGCGAGCTGTACGCACGGCATCCACCGGCTGGGTCGTTGCTGCTCACACCCTGCCATGCCCGCAACAAGTTGTTGTTTCCGCACCTCACTCTTCCCTATATCAGCCCCAGTTTGTTGATAAGGGGTTCGGTTTAGTGGGGAATCAGACCACTTTTGTGGGGGCCCCCACCCCCTGAAATTCATTAGCAGGGTCAACATTACCCTTTTTTACCCTGCCTTGCCAGCGTGCCACAGAACCGTGCGTCCGCGCGGAGCCGCTGCCGCGCGAGCTGCCGCAGCAGCCGCCACGCCGCATCCTCTGCAGCCGGCACGGCGTGCTCGCAGGCACTGCAGGCGCTGGTGAAGGAAACCTCACGGGGCAGGTAAATGGGTAGGCAGGGACACACGTGTGCAACGGTAGCTTTGGGCAAGTAATCTGTGCGAGCGGCATGCCGAGATCGAATCTACTCATGCGATAGCCCGGTCTGCCGTGTGTTGCTTTCATGTGCGTGCTTGCTCGGACCCCAGAAATCTTTGTCGGGATCGCACGTCTGCATCCTAAGCCTTCTCCCCCAAACACGCAAAAAAACGGCCTGGTCGGGCTGCAGGCGCGCCAGCTGCAGCATCAGCACCGCCGGCTCCCACCCACGACGGCCCTGCGCCGTGATTTGGCAGTTCCGCAGCGCAAGGCTGGGCCGAAGCCCGGCCCCAAGTGCAACCTCCAGCAAATGCAGCGACCAGCTCCAGGCTCCTAGCAACTAACATGGCACCTGACAAGGAATCAGGTACCTCCACTGGAGTCCCATATTCGTGGGAGGAAGGGTAAGACAACAAACGGACCTTCAGAAGGGAGGCACGCAATGTCAGCCTTGTTATGTTCCACACGCGCACAATTCAGCGGCTTCAAGCGCCCTCCTGCTCGGTTGCAGGCCGCTGCTGCGGAGCACAGCGGCGCAGACTCCGAGTCCGGCGTGAGTTGCCGCACCTTCCATGCCCATAAACGGGCCAAGGTGGGGGTGAGGGGTGGAGGGGTGAGGAGTGAGGAAAAGGGGCCCCCTCTCATCTTCCCACCCCACAAAACGGCCCAAGCCAGTTCCCCGTCACCGGGTTTCCCCTTCAAGCGCCGCCCGCGGCCCGCGCAGCGACGGCCGCCCAAGGCCGCCTTCCGCATGAGGCCCACGAGCCGCAGCGCCGCGCGCCACTGGCGCGACGCGCCGCAGGCCGCCAGCGCCGTGCCGAAGCTGACCTGGTCCGCGCCAAGGCGCGAGGACAGGAGCCCAGCGAGCAGCTGGAGCACCGAGGGCCAGGCGTCGGCGCCTGAGAAACCGATGGCTAGGGAATGAGAAATGGGAGGAACCCAGGCGTTGCTCCCCTTAAAGGAAGCCACCTGGATGGTTTAGAAAACCAACGGATAGGTAGGGAATGAGGGGAACCCAGGAATTGGTCCCCTTAAAAGGAAACCGATGGTTTAAAAGGGTCATCCCATTTCTCATTTCCTTTTGAGCACCAGCAAGCCAATCTGGACACCCACAATGGGCTGGATCCCTGTGTGCATGACAAAGTCCAAAGATCCGTTGCCAAAATCGCCATACAGATTCCCAACCGCACAAACAGTTTGGTTCACAAACGACCCCCCCCCTCCCCACGCCCACCGCAAACGACACCCCCCCCCCCCCACAAGGAGACCCGTGGCACCGGCGCCTCGGCACCGGAGCAGCGCGGCCCCCGCCGCGTTGCTCACCGCCCTTCCCAGTCCCTCGCTCTTGGCGCGCACCAGGCAGTCGATGGCCAGGCACCACCTGCAGATCCGCCCTCGGAGTCGATGGCCCCCAAAAGGATGGCCCGGAAGGACCCGGTTTGGAGGAGGCTCCCAGTTAGAACAACACCCCCCTTGTTTTAATGGTGGCTTGGAAAATTCAGGGTATGGGCATGTCTGGAAGATCAGTTCCTGCTTGTCAGGCGCCATGAAAACGTGGGAGAGAGGGTATCCCACATTGAGCCGGACATGTCAGCGAGTCAAAACGTGTTGCCTCTCTTTTTCCCCCGAAAGCTATGGGCCATGGGCCTCTGCCCAGAACCAAAGTTGTCTGGAGCCAGGAGTGGCCCGTAGGGTTCCAGAAGCTTTGGGGGGGGCTGAGGAGTGCGGTGAGTTCCGGGGTTTGGCTCCAAAGCTGCTGTTGAAACCGCCTGGTAACACGGCAAAGCAGATTGACCGTGGCCTGTGGCCTGACACACAACATTTGCTGCCCCACCGCGCATCCGGCATCCCCAAGCCGTCGACGCGGGCGGGCCCGTCTGAAATTCAGGTATCCTCCTTTTTGCTCTTTGTCCTTTCGGTTTCCAATTAACACAAACCATCCAAACCGGGATTTCAATGGCTTCCGCAGTGTTAGGCCCTTTCCCGGCTTCCCCCCCTCACCCAACCCCCAACACCCCCCCCCCTCCCCAAAACAAGGAGAAAAAATCCTCGCCCCCTCGCCCAACCCCCAAACCCCCCACCACCAAAAAAAAGGCGACAAAACAAACCGCGGGCCTGCCGCTGCTGCGGCAGGCGTCCACCGCAGCCACATAGGCCATCTCCGATTTTTCGGCGCCTTCCGCCCCCCCAGCGCCGCCGGCGCCGGCGGAACTGTCGCCACCGCCGGCGGACGCCAGGAGCGCCAGGGCGGGCTGCCAGAGCCGCACGCGGCCCAGGCGGCGGATCGCCAGCGCCAAGACCTCCCCGGAAAGCACCAGGCGCCGGCGTGCGAAGGCCAGCACCCGAAGCAGCTCCTGGAAGTCGCAGGAGAGGTTGAGCCCGATTCCAAAAAAGACAAAAGGCTGGGTGTTGTTGTTTTGTTGTGTTTGCTTCTTGTTTCTGTCCTCTTTGTGTTTTTCAGGTGTCCACCCCCGTTGAACCAGCCAAAACCTCGAAAAGAGCGAAGCCCAAAAAGAGCTTGAGGGGGGTGGCCTGTTTGCAAAGCCTGGCGCCTCCAAACACCAGAAATCTCCAAAAGAATGCGCTGGCCCACCCTCTTTCCAACAACCATACATAAGCGAACAGGGGCACCTCTCATCAACTTCAGCCTCCCTGGAGGGTTTCGAGAAGAAGAAAAAATGAGAAGAAGAAGAAAAGAAAGAACAAAAAGAAGAAGAAAAAACACCAAGCAAAAAAAAAAAAAAAAAAAACGCGCCGGCATCCTGCCCGGCATCCCACCCCCGTCCGCTTGGTCCACGTACTTGGCCGCCAGGAACCTCCGGATCAGCTCCGGGCTGGTGGCGCCCCTCTGCGCCCAGGACGCCGACCAGGACGAGGCGCGGCGCAGGACCCGGCGCCGCCAGGCCACCTGGGCCTTCCTGCCGTGTCGCCGCGCAGGGAGCGGGGACCAAAGCCCTTTTAGGTTTCCTTGGATGCCTTCACGTGCACCTTCTGGGGGTGGTTTCTGTATTTTAAAAAAAGGCGGACCCCCAAAATGGGTTGTTTCTTTTTGGTTTCCGGCACCACCCGCACAGAGTGGGTCAGCCATTTTGGGAACCCCTGACTTGTTTCTCTGTGCAGAGGTTCTTTGGTTGCCTTTGCTGACTCTCCAAAGGTTTGCCTTTTTTTTCCTGAGGGTGCTCTTTTGGTTGGTAAAAAAGGGGGAACCAAAAGGAAACCCTTGCGAGGGTCTCCTAAAAACAGACACATCCACCTGAGCCCTCTGGGCAGGAAGCCCTTGGATCTCCTGGCCCGCTAACCCCCCCCCCTCCTCTGCTGAAGCTCCACGCTGTCCTCCGGCCACAGGATCCAGGTCTGGCGCAGGAGCAGGCCGCGCAGCTCCTCGAGCCCCGCCTCAGTGCACCGGCTGCTTAGGATTCGAAGGGGGGGGGCTGGGGTGGGGGTGGGTGGCGTGGGGGTGGGTGGAGGGGGCTGGGTGGAGGGGGCTTGGTGGAGGGGGCCGGGTGGAGGGGTCTGGGTGAGAGGTGGAAAGCAAAACACCATGCTTGGAACGGGTGCAGGAAAAATAGGAAAGGTCTCCGAAATCGGCGTGAAGAACAGGGATCATGGGGCGTTTGTGTGTGAGCGCGTGATTCTGCCTTGGGGGTGCTGCCCAGGATGGCTAGGGCTGATGCAAAGGATGCCATCGCTCCGGCAATCAGAGTGCGAACGACGGTCTTGCAAAACCTCCCGGCTTGCAAAGGGTAAGACTGATCAAGGGAAAGGTTGAATGGCCACCTGGCACTTGCCAACACACCGACTGCAAGCTTGCAACCAAACCACCAAGCCAGCCAGCAAGCAACCAAGCGAGCAAGCAAGCACAAGGAAGGACCACCAGGGACAACCTCTGATTGGCAATCGCTCTGAAGCTCATTTGCCAAGAAGCGGTACAGTACCCACCAGTCAATCAGCACGGGCCAGAAATCAACTGATTCACTCCCTTTGCCAATCACAAGCCACCCCCTTCCCAAGATTTCCAGCTTCTCCCCCCCTTCTCCCCAAAATATGTTTCCCAGCTCCGAGGCGCAAGCTCCTTGAGGTGCCAGCGCGCGAAGGCCCTCAGCTGCACCAAACGCAGCACCTTGCCGCCCATGCTGTCGATGAGCCGCGACAGCCAGGCGCAGAAGCCCTCCCCCCGCATCGCCTGCCGGTAGCCCGCCGCGGTCAGTGGCGCCGAATCCCGAAGCTCCGCCGCCTTTTCTTTGCGGGCCTCCCAGGCCTGGCACTGGCATTGCTGGAGTGCCACATCAATCAACGAGCGGCACCAAACATCTCTGGTGTGGAACAGAAACAAAAGAAAAACAAGAAAAGAGAAGAAAAAGAAAGGGGAAAAAAAAGAAGAAGACAAAAAGAAGAAGAAGAAAAAAAACGCCCCGCCTCAATGGACTTCAGGAGCTCGTCTGTCGAAGGAGGCCGTTTCTTGCGCCATTCCCTCAGCCAAGTCTGACCCCTTCGAGGCGCATATCGCCTCAGCTTCTGCATCTGCAGCCTGAAGCTCTCGTCATACCAAATCACCCATGGTTGATCCTGCAGCTGCTGCATCAACGTCTCGAAGTGCTCCTTGGTTGGAGGCACGGCACCTCTGAACGTTAAAAGTACTGGTCCCATGGCTCATCTGTTCAAGAATCATGCTCAATGCTCAATGCCCAGCAAACTCAAAAGGGCTGATCCAACCACCATCTGTTTGCAATCGCTGCTTGCGCACGCTTCAGAAACAATGCCACTGCACTTCAATCAAGCGGCGCTTCTCTGCGAGCAGTCTTCAACAAAGGACACGAGCTGATCTCTCGATAGAATCAGCCCATCCATGCTGGTGACCAGCCGCTCAATGAAGCAACGGAGTTGCCTGAAGCTGCCTTCTGCCAGGACAGCCTGGTATCCTCTGTCGTTCAAGGCCGGCATTTCTTCCAAGACTTCTGGCTGCCGCTCTGCCCTGGGTTTCGAGCTTCTGGATGATGACGCTGGTGATGCTGAGCTCACCTGCGGAAAGGACAGGCGCGCCGGCTCTGCTTGCGGCAACTTGCGAAGCCAAGTTGCCGGTATCATGCAAACTGAGGGGGCAAGCACAGCGCTACCGAAACCAAAGACTTCCTGAAGACCACCACTTAACTCTTGGAACACCAAAGCCCCGAGTGCTACCCATCCCGCATCGAAGGCCGGGCCCTAAGCGGGCGAGTCAGATGCCAAACGGACCTCGCGACCCAGCGGCGCCTCCCCCTGCAAGAGCCATCGCGAGAGATCCGCCTCGAGGTCCGAAGCCTGAGGCTCTCACGCACAGCTTCCCAATTGGTTAGCCGGTTTGGTGGTTCGGGTTGGTGGAGTGGTTGGTGGTTCGGGTTGGTGGTTCGGGTTGGAGTGGTTCGGGTTGGAGTGGTTGGTGGAGGTGGTTGGTGGTTCGGGTTGGTGCTGAGGGCCATGCTTGTCCTGCGAATGAAACCCCCTTGCCTCACCAAGCCAAAAGCAGCTCGAGCCACTTCGGCCAGAAGGGCTGGTGGTTTCCCATCTACCCAAATGGTCCAAATCCCCAAACCACCCCTAGGGGAGGGGAGGGGAGGGGAGGGGAGGGGAGGGCACGTTGGCGGGAGGTGAGGGCCGATGGAAAGAAGTGACCAACACGTCCAAGAGTGGCGAAGAAAAATGAACAGCCACAGATATGCCTCGAGAACGCGAAGATCAAATGGACAAGAAGCAAGGATCAACTCAACCCACGGCGTTTCAGGTTGCCTCACATGCGCGACAAGCGACAGGCACAGTACATGTCAGAAAGCAACTGTACGGCCCGCCTTTGACGCATGGATGTGCCTTGTTTGAGCGCGCCCTTTTTAAGGGTCCGTTTAAAAAGGAAAACAAAGGAGACAAAACATAAGTGACATAAGTTCAATTCATTTCATTCACCTCCTTTTTGGAGACACTTATATATGTATATATATATATATGTATCATTTATACATACATATATATAATATGTATATATATATAATATATAGATATATATATATATATATGAGTGTGTGTGTGTGCCTCGGAACCCCCTTCCCATCCAAGGCACACAGCGCAGCTGTAAGCCAGGCCTGACAGAACAGAACTGGCATACCCGAATGGCTCAACCAAACCGGCTTAAGACCAACTTGCCAAACGTCACCGGGCCATTTGACACCTTTCCGGTCCTGTACTGCACGGCCGCAACCATTCACAACCTGGTGGTATGGCTGTGGGTCAAACATTTTGTGGAACAAAAGACTAAAAAACCTGCGGTCCAATTCCTGGTGCTTTAATTTTGACCCGTACCCAAATCTTATCCTCCCACCAACAAACATAGAAGTGCACAGACCCCTGGAGAAAGACTACTTTCCTCTTGGAAAGGGGGTCTGTGCACTTTCCTCTTGGAAAAGGGCGCCCGGTTTGATCACGACTTCCCCTCGTCCCGCACGCTCCGCGCGCTCCGCGCTCGATCCGCCTCCGGTGGCGCCAAGTCGCGGTGGAGCCCATGGCTGCCAGTCTGCCAGCCGTTCGGAGCCCAGCGGCCGCCGAATGCTCGAGCTACCGGTGCCGGGCCCCGGTCTCCGAGCGCGAAACGCTTTAAGAAGGACGCGGATCAGAGCCAGACGTCACATTTTCCGTGGGGCTTTGGGCTTATGCACAGCTCGGTTGCTGTTGCTTTCGCTCACTCTCCGCTTGGCTCCTGTTGGGGCGTGCGTGGCCTGCATCCAATTGGTTTTCGCATGACATGCCGGAGTCAGCCTATGAGCCTCGTGGCTGAGTGCAAGCGCAAACTCGTTCAAGGCACTGAGCCCCCACGGCAAGGCAGCGTTCGCAAAAACAGGTGGGGTCGGGTGCCTGCTCACGAGGCTGGCAGCAGCACAGGCCGTCCCATGAGTGAGCAGTGGCTCCTACTGGTCACCGGCTTTTACGCCGCCTTCTATGCGAGAGATGCAGAGATGTCGTGCATCTCAAATGCCACTGCCTCTCCGCTTGTGTTTTTTTGTTTTCTTCACTCATACGTCTTCTCCGCAGCCAATCAGCTCTCCAGGCTGGACTGGGTTCTTTCCTTCACATGAGGCTCACACAGCACCTTTCCCACAAGCAGCTCCTAGAGCCAAGAGCCGCCGGGTCAAGCCTTCCGAGGCCGCAACGCACGCGTGATCCCTGCTCGTGCACGCGAAACGATTGCGTCTTCCCCATGCGATTTCCTTGCTTTCGCCGCATCTCATGGCGGAGATGCGAATTTCGGGGGCCCGATGCCAGACAACGCGCGGGCTGAAGTACAGATTGGAATCCCGCTCCCCTCAGGTGGCGCTATCACCGCCTCAAATGCGCATGCAAGTTGCCCACCCACTCCGCTGGTCACAAAGATCCAAACCAACAAAGAGTGGCGACCTCGGTCCTGAAGGCGTCACACGTCAAAATGTGTCAGCTGCTGGGTGGGGCAGGATATGGCTTCAACACCACCTTTGCCAGAGGGAAGAATCCTCATAACCAGTGGTTTGACAAAAGCCACAGCTTGTCAAAAGATGTCAACCACCAGGAGCTTGCAGCAACAGGACGGGCCTGGTTTCAACATGTTTAAACCAATGGGTGGCCCCCATCCCAAGTCAGCTGCAGCTGAGATGCCGCCCAACTGCAAGCCAGCCAGGGCTTGAGTCACATCTCCACCTGAGCTGCAAGAAGCGAGCCAAAGCTTTAGCCTCATGTGGGGGACAAAAAGCAAAAAATCGAAAAGGGAAGCTAATTCTGGGGAAGAAAATAGGCGGCAAATGGATGTTCATCCACCCCAAAATGGAGCCATAGGTTATGCCCCATGGCCCACTGCGCCTCCCAGCGCGTCTGGCTCTACATGAGTTGAGGTGGCACAGCCTCGCAAGGGAACTGTCTGGATTGGGGATCTCTCGGCTTCACGCGTGAAAGCAAGGGATTCGACACACATATATATATATATATGCATATATGTTTATAAACACATTTATACATATATGCACACATACACATACACATACACATACACATACACATACACATACACATACACATATATATATACACACACACACACATGCGCTACACGCAAACCTCAAGGTACAAGGCTTTACGTCCACTTGAAGCGCCGGCCTCGTGGATTTACCGCGTGCAACGCCCCACAGCATGGATAGCGGCTGTCGTAATCAGTTCTTGGAAAGGTGGAAGCGGCAGAGCCTCGGTCGTTTGGAGTCTGCCGTCTGCATGGCACACATGCACACACGATGCTTGTTTTTGTGTGACCACAAGCTCACAGGCACGCGAACGCGCGGGCACATGCGCAATTGCGAGTTGGCGTGCATACCAAATCGCGTGTTTTTTGGTTTGTTTGTGTGTGGTGTTGCATCGTGTTGTGGGGTGATATTGTGGTATTGTACGTTGCGCTGCGTTGTATTGCAGTGCTGCACGGTTGGGCAAAACTTTGTAAAGTGTGCATGTGTGTCTGTGTGTCTGTGTCTGTGTCTGTGTCTGTGTCTGTGTCTGTGTCTGTGTCTGTGTCTGTTTCTGTTTCTGTGTCTGGGTGGGTGGGTGGGTGGGTGGGTGGGTGGGTGGGTGGGTGGGTGGGTGGGTGGGTGGGTGGGTGGGTGGGTGGGTGGGTGGGTGGGTGGGTGGGTGGGTGGGTGGGTGGGTGGGTGGGTGGGTGGGTGGGTGGGTGGGTGGGTGGGTGCCCGTGCGTGAGGGCGGGCGTGAGCATCCGGGTGTCGTGCTTGTGTTTGTGCTTGTTGTGCTTGTTGTTGTGCTGTCGTTGTGTTGTGTGGTGTCGTGTCGTGCGGTGTTGTGTTGTCGTACTGCGTTGAGCTGTGCTGCTGTGTTGCGTTGTTAGGTGGGTGAGTAGGTGGGCGGGCCAGCCGGCGGTCGGCGGGCCGGCGAGCAGGCAGGCGGGTGGTGTGTTTGTGTGCTTGCGCGCTTGTTCCCCAAACAGTTTATTCCAAAACAGTTTACTGTAGGGGTTCTTGATTCTTTTAGGCTTTGTCTCCCCTTGTCTCCCTTCATATCTGCTTCCACTCTGTCCCCCCTTGTCTCGCCTTATCTCGCCTCGTCTCCCTTGTCTCCCCTTATCTCCCCTTGTCTCCCCTTGTCTTTTCTTGTGTCCCTTGTCTCCCCTTGTCTGGGCTCCTGCCGCCTTGTCTCCTCCCTGTGTCTCCCCTTGTCTCCCTTCATATCCTGCTGCCTTGTCGTTCGGTTGGACGGGTTCCTGCCGGTCCCGAGATCGCCGGGCCGCATGTTCGCCACTTACTGGTCTCACAGCATGCGCCTTCATCCGTCTCCCATGCTGCCAAATCGCCGGGCCGCATGCTTGCCAGTGCGCGCATGTACTCACTTGTCTCCCGGTGCTGCCAGATCGCCGGGCCGCATGCTCACCAGTGCACGCGCATTGACTTGTCTGCCAGTATGCGCCATCCTTTGTCTCCGAGCGCTGCCAGACTGCCGGGCCGCATGCTAGTGCGCGCGCTTGCTTGTCTCCCAGTATGTGCCTTTATTCGTCTCCCGGTGCTGCCAGACTGCCGGGCCGCATGCTCGCCAGTGCGCGCACTTGCTTGTCTCCCAGTATGTACCTTCATTTGTCTCCAGATCGCCGGGCCGCATGCTCGCCAGTGCGTGCGTTTACCTGTCTCCCAGCATGTGCCTTCATTTGCCTTCAGATCGCCGGGTCTCCCAGTATGTCTCCCAGCGCTGCCGCATCGCCGGGCTGCACGCTCGCCAGCGTCCTGCCAGATTGCTGGGCTGCATTTATTCTTGTCTCGGAGTATCTGCCTTCATTTGTCTCTCGGTTCTGTCAAGTCGCCGGGTTGCAGCTGCGCGCGCCGCAGATGCGCGTGACGTGTCAGCAGCGCAGGCCGCTGCTCTGCTCGCGGCGCTGCGAAGGCGACGCCGGAAGCTAGCAACGCAGGGGCGCGGAGCCGTGCGAGCTGCCGCCCCTTCCCCCACCCGACTTGTTGGACAGCATGGAGGACGCCAACTTGGCGACGGAAATACTTCGGCGGCGGGCGCGCACGTTACAGCCCCACCCGGCTTTCTGCGCGGGGCGCTGAAGAATGCGTGGGCCGTGCCGCGCTGGCCCTCGAGGTTGGTGGAGATGGACTACTTTCTGTCGCGTTTGGCAGCTTCTCTTTGTCGCGGCGCAGGAGGCGTTCGCGGCCGGCCTGAACAACCTGCCTGCCAACGCGCGCGGCGGCGCCGTTGCTGGCGCACTGCCGCTGGCGAATGTCGTGGCCGACGCGGTGGCCGGTCCAGGCGCCAGCGTGCCGTCGAACGGCGACGTATCACCCTCGCCGCACACAAGCGCAAAACAGTCTCTGTCGGCGCACAAGTGTGTTTACTGTTGGCGCACAAGAGGTTTCCTTCTTGGCGCACAAGTGTTTTCACTGTCGGCGTACACGAGTGTTCCTTGTCGGCGCACAAGCGTGATCACCGTCGGCCAAGCGGCGCCTAATTGGAGCACAAATGTGTTCACTGCGGGCGCACGCAAGTGCTCCTCAGGAACGCATAATTAAGAGTGTTCACTGTCAAAGTGTCCGTTCTCAGGGCGCAAATTTGCTCACTGTGGATTCACCGTGCGCGCGAGCGTGTTCCATGTTGGCGCGTAAGCATGTTCAGCGTTGGCGCATAAAAGCGCCCGCTGTCTGCGCGCAAGAGTTCGCCTCGTTGGCGCAGGAGCATGTTGACCGCCGGCGCATAATAGTTTTCCGTTGGCGCAAAAGCGTGCCTATGCCGGCGCGCAAAAGTTGTCCGCGTCGGCGCAGAAGTGCGCTCACTCCCGTCGCACGCAAGTGTTTCTGCTTCGCGCGCAAGGCACAAAAGTGCACGTGGTCGGCGCACAAGTGTGTTTATTGTCGGCGCACAAGAGTGTTCCTACCGTCGGCGCAATCAGGGGTTTGCTGGCGCACAAGCGTGGCCGTGGTCGGCGCACAAGAGTGTTCGTCCTCGGCGGATCAGCGTGTTCAGTGTCGGCGCCAAAAAAAAGGCTCTGTTGGCAACAAGCGTGTCCACTGTAGTGTTGAACGGGGCGCAACTGTGGTTACTGTCGGTGCACAAGCGTGTTCCTTCTTGGCGCACAAGTGCGACCACTGTCGGCGCGCACAAGCGTTCCTCGTTGGCACACAAGAGTGTTCCTTGCTGGCGTATAAGCGTGCTCGCTGTCGGCGCGTAACAGTGTCCGTTGTCGGCGGGCAAGCGTTCATTGTCGGTGCACACAAGTGCTTCTTCTTGTCGCACAAGTCTGTTCACGATGGGCGCACGCAAGTGTTCCTTCTTGGCATCCGAGCGTCTTCACTGTCGGCGCACAAGAGTGTTCCTTAAGCGTGTTCAGCGTTGGCACATAGGAGTGTTCCCTGTTGCTGCACCAGGGTTTTCTGTTGGACGAGCGTTCCTTGCTGGCGCATACGCGAGTAGATCGTCGGCGCATTGGCGCAGAAGGGTTTTTATCGTCGGCGAGCAAGAGTGTCTTCTGTTGCCTTGTTGGCGCACAGTCGTGTCCGGTCGGCGCACATAAGTGTTCAGAGTGCTCCTCGTTGGCGCACAAGAGTGTCAAATTTGGCGCACCAGGGTCAAGTGTTCCTTGTTTGCGCACAAGTGTGTTATTCATTAGCGCACAAGCGTGTTTACAATCGGCACATAAGAGTGCGCACTGTTGGCGCACAACAGTGCGCGCTGTTGGCGCACAAGCGTGCCCCCTGTCGGGGCACGAATGTGTGGTCAGTGCGCAAGTGGGCCTACTGTCGGCGCACACAAGCTTTCCTTGTTGGAGCACAAGTGTGTTCATTCCTTGTTGGTGCACCAAGTGTGTTCACTGTTGGCGCACACGAGTGTTAATCCTTGGCGCAGAAGCATTTTCACCCTTGGCGGACATTATCGCGCCCAGTGTCGGCGCACACAAGTGTTCATGGTTGGCGCACGAGCGTGTTCACCGTTGGCGCACACAAGCGTTCCTTGTTCCCGCACAAGGCGTTTCGCTTTCAAAATTGTTCCACGGTTGGCGCACACGCGAGGTGACTGTCCACGCATAAGCGTGCGCGCCATCGGCGCATAAGCGCGCCCACTGTCGCCGCATATATGTAAATTTTGTCGGCGCACAAATGTGTACAGTGTCGGCGCGCCAGAGTGTTACCTTGTTGGCGCACCAGTGTGTTCACAGGCGGCGCACCCAAGTTTTCCTTGTTGGCGCACAAGCGCGTTCACTGTCTGCGCAAGAGTGTTCCCCGTTGGCGAATAAGGGTGTGCACAAAGAGCGCCCCTCGTTGGCGCAGAAGCGTGGCTATGTCGGCGGGCGAGAGATTGATTCTTGGTTGGCGCAGACGTGCGCTCATTGTCGGCGCCCGCAAGTGTTCCTTGTTCGCGCACAACCGCGCCCGCTGTCGGCGGCAGGCGCAGAAGCGTTTTTGCTGCGGGCGCGTAACCGCACCGTCCACTGTCGGCGCACAAAAGCGCACGCGTTCGGTTCACAAGTGTGCGTACTCGCGGCGCACAAGAGTGTTCCTTGTTAGCGGACAAGTGTGTTCACCGCCTGCGCAAGTGTGTTCTTCGTTGGCGCACAAGCGTGTTTACCGTCGGCACATAACACTGTTCCCTGTTGGCGCGCACAAGGCTGCTCCCTGCCGGCGCACAAAGAGTATTCCTCGTTGGCGCACAAGCATTTTCACTGTCGGCAGGCCATTGTGTTCTCTATTGGCGCAAAAGCGCGTGCACCTGTTGGCGCACACAAGTGCACCTTGTTGGCGGGCAAGCGTGCTCACTGTCGGCGCGCACAAGTGTTCCTTGTTGGCGCACAAGCGTTTCCACCGTCGGCACACAAGTGTGCGCCTCGTGTGTGCCTCGTTGGCGCAGAAGCGTGTCCATTGCCGGCGCACCAAGATGCCCGCGGTCAAAGCACAAGTGTGTTTACTGTCGGCGCACAAAAAGTTTTCGCTGTCTGCGCACAAGTGTTTTCACTGTGGGCGCACGCATGTGTGCCGTGTTGGCGCACAAGCGTGAGTGTTCCTTGTTGGCGCATGATTGGCACATACGCGTGCGCACCGTCGGCGCACAAGAGTGTTCCTCGTCGGCGCATCAGCGTGTTCAGCGTCGGCGCATAAAGTGTTCGTCGTCGGCGCGCAAACGTGTTCTTAGTTGTCACGTAAGCATGTTCACCGTCGGCACATCATACTGTTCCTTGTTGGTGCACAAAGCTGTGCCCTGTCGGCGCGCAAGAGTGTTCCTCGTTGGCGTATAAGCGTATTCGTCGTCATAATAGTGTTCTGTTGGCGCACAAGGGTTTTCCCGTCGGCGCACAAGCGTACCCACAAAAAAGTCTCAGTGTTGGAGCATAGGGGTTTCTATCGTCGGCAGATAATTGTGTCCTCGGTTGTCTCGTTGGCGCATCATCGTATCCAGTGTTTGGAACCTTGGGGGTTGCCTTCAAAAGGTGCAAAGTATACCGGGATCCCCTGACCCCATCATGCAAGAATGATTCCGCTTAATCTGTTGGCTCGCAAGGCCAAGTTGTGTTGCGTTGTGTTGTGTTGCGTTGTGTTGTGTTGTGTTGTGTTGTGTTGTGTTGTGCTGTGCGTGCTGTGTGTTTGTGTGTGTGCGTGTGTGTTGTGCTGGCTGCCCTTCGCTGGGCTGTGTTGTGCTGCGCTGCGCTGTGCTGTGCTTTGCCTGCGTCGTGTTGTGTCGTGTTGTGCGTGTGCGTGTGCGCGTGGGTGTGGGGTGTGTGTGTGTGTGGGTGTGGGTGTGGGTGCGTGTGGGGCTGTGTGGCTTGTGCTTGTGGTTGTGGTTGTGCTTATACGTGTGCTTTTGCTTGTGCTTGTGCTTGCACCTGTTCGTGCGCTCGTGTTTGCTTGTTTGTTTCTGTGTGTGTCTGTGCGCGTGTCAATTTGCATGCACGCAGCCATTTTGGCCTGCCACGAGTCGGTTTAGGAGCTTTGCCAGCCCATGCTCGCTGCCGGTTTCCAGCTTATCTTGCCCGCTTTGGGACGAGCAGCTTCTCCTCTGGGCTGTTTGCGCAGGGCACGAAAAGCATCCTACCTCAGCTGTTCAGGCAACTCGCCCAAGATTCCGCGACACTGTGGGGCCATCATGCATTTTACCAGGATGACAAAACAATCCCCTGATCCACGCAACCGGGGCCCGTCCTCGCCAAAGAATATATATATATATATATCATATATGGAAAATATGACGTGCGCGCACAAGCGGGCACACATGTGTGGAGTGTGCGTGTCTGCATGTGCAGGCGCATTCACACGGTCATCTGTGTGGTTTTGCGTGCGGGTTTGTATGTGCGCCACTTCATTCACCCAAAGCTACTTTGTATGGCACCTCCCTCATTTTAACCAATCCGGAGGAGCTCTTGCACAATCCTGCATGAATCTGCTGTGAATTCGCTTTGACCCAGGCACATCGCGCACATTGAAGATGAAGCTTGTCCTTTCTCCACTTTATTCGCCTTTTCAGCTCCCCCATGTCGTAGTCTTCGACGTAAACGCCGCCTGGCCAGCAGACGAGAGGCTGGAATTTGTCGGAGGCATCTCACCGCCGAGAATTATGAGGAACGCCAAAGCCAAGGCGCGCCTTCTTTCACCAAGGCAAAGTAGCCGTGCCGCTTGCCCTGCACAGAGGGCAAGGAGTTGCAAAGATGGTGGCTAGATGAAAGCTGGGCATGAAGTTCAATATCTGCCCAGGCCTGCACCCAAGCACCGTAGCCACACCTCCAAATCAGGGATCCGGCACTGGCACTTCGACTTCATGCCCCTCCCCCGAATTTTTACCAAAAGTCGCTGTTTCGGACTATGTCTAAACAGGTGGACCCGGAAAAGAAAAAACAAAGTTCCCCTCCAAGCCCTTTGGGTGCGAGACCAGGAAAACCCCTGCCATTCGCCGGGCCATCCGAGTCAAGGCGCTGCTCCTTGCCCTCCACGATGCTGGACCACATGCCCGGCCCATCTGCGACCCCATCCTGAGATCCCAGAATCGCGCTCAGAACTGAGGAGAAAAAAAACGGGGCGAGGGCGGGGGGGGGGGGGGAGGGAGGCCGAAAAAAAAAGGAGACTCAAAGCCCACTGCTCTCTGCTGGCTTTCCGGGCGTGGCTCTTAGGCTTGCACCGGCTTCTTTATTTTACCATCATCAAATTTAACCTCTAAGGGGCGGCTCAAAGGGAAACAACCGATTCCATTTTCTGACTTTTTGATAACTCCCAGAAAGCCGTCAAAATGATGACCCCAGTTGCACCCCCTTCTTTGGGGGCACCCATGCGAACGCGACTAATTGGAATTTCAAGCTGATCCGCCAGGCATCTCGCCAGACGGCGCAGGCCTGCATGAAGCCCTCGTGATGCTCCAGCACGCCTGGGCCAGAACCGGGGCTTGCTCAACATAAGGGACCCTTCTTTTGGATGGGTTTAAAGGAAAACCAAAAGAGAACGAAAATGAGGGACCCTGTTTTCTTTTCTCTTTTTTAAAAGGGAAGCGAAAAGGAAACGAAAATACGAGGCCCCGTGTTTGGATGGTTTTAAAGGCAAACCAAAAGGAAACCAGCTACCTGGAGTGTTGGATGGTTTTAAAGGGAAACCAAAAGGAAACCAGCTACCTGGAGGGTCCCCATTTAGAGAAACGCCCTGAAACGCAACTAGCCCCCTCTCGCGAACGAAGGACCTTAAAAAGTTTCTCTTGTTTCAAGCTCCAAAGCCATCCAAATGCGTCTCTTTTTGCAAGCTCGTGTTGGCATGTGCACGCAACACAGCCACTACGCGCTATCAACCGGCTGCCAAGCTTCCCCAGCCATGTGGGGTATGCTCGCCCTTCCTCGGCTGAGCAACCCAGCGAACATATCCCACGAGGCTATGACACTTGCACAAGATAACGGCCAACGTATCAAGAAAGTGCACGAGTGACTTTCCAGGCCCCGTCCAAATGCAAACAAAGAAAATGTAGAACATCCATTTCCCGATTTCCCGATTTCCCGTTGCCTCACGCCACGCGTCATGCCAATCCACAGCTACGATTTCCAAAATTGCAGTTGCCCACCCACCAATAAACATGCAACCTGACGTTTTGGGGGGGTCCCGGTTTGGACCTTTGTCCTTTTAAAGGGACCCGGCCCCGAACGTCCGGTTCCAAGTGGGAGGGCAACTGACTGCATCGCAGCGCTCCCTAGGCACCGAGGCTCGGAGTGCCATGCGCCAGCCCGGTGAAGGTCTGATCTCTGCCCCATGGCACCAGCTCGGCGAAGCGGGCGTCCGCAAACTCCGGACCTCGGAGACAACCACCGGCCGCGGGCAGCTTGCGGGCCGCGGGCTGCAACAACACACAAGGCACAGAAGAGAGAACTGCAGCTCGTTTGGTTGACTGAACCGCCAAAGTATGAGATTGAATGTCCTTCTGGGGGGGAAAGGTCCAGAAAAGTCTTGCAGCAAAGCTATTCAGCAAAGCAGTTCAGCTGGTTGTTTTGCTGGTCTCCACCAGGGCATGAGGCCAAACCATCCCCAAAGGTTTCCTTTCAGTGAATCTCGAGGTTCATTCCCAAGCCCGCCATACCGAGCACCATTGCAAGTAACTGAAACAAAGCCCCCCCCAGGCGAAGCCAATGCAGCTGAAGCGGCCTTCGTACAACTGGTCGAAGCGCTGAAATGGAATGTCCCGCATTTGCCTCGCTGACCCAACCCAAACCCCCCCCCCCCCCACCACATGGCAGATAGCGCGCGGATTGCAGCCCAGGGGCCGGTCAAGCGCGGCCTTCACTTCCTCAAGCGTTCGCACGGGCGTCACAAAGCCCGAAAAGAGCCCTGACTTGCAACAGCGAATTAAGCACAAGCTCTTTCCTTTCAAGTTGGACCAAGTTCTTTCCTTTTAAATTGGACCAACAAAACTTGGCCTCCGGCAAAACGATTTGCGACATCTGTGTTTCAACCATTGTGATCGCATGCCCTAGCTTTCCGCTTGGTTCACTTGGTACTTGTTGGCCGCAAAGGCTTCCGTGATTTGCAAGAATGCATAAGGCCATTTGACTGTTGCCTTCCCATCTCTGCAGCAGGGAAGTCTTGAAATGTCCACATTGAAAGCTCGAACAGATCTTCTTATGAGCTCACTGAGCTGGGGCTGGATCGACTGGTTTTTCCTGCCTGTCTTTAGGAAGCAAATCCAAATACACCAAGAGTGAGTCAGGCGCGCGCGTGCACAGCCTCTCTGCTCTGCCAAGAATCCGCTAAGGGGTCATCTTTGCCCTTAGCCTCTGACATTGCGTCCAGAGGCCTCGCCGAAAGGCACGCGTGGATCTGCAAGAGGTGCGAGTCTCTCGTTTTTTTGTAAGGGCTTGCTGCCACTATCGGGCAAGGATGTTGCTCACAGTGCTTGGCTCTTTGATGTCCTTCGCATTAACCAGGCAGAATCAGCTGGCATGGTGTATGGGTAAGTGAAGCGAGTATCACATGTATCTGCCATCTGTCAGATGAGCCTCTCGTAAGACACACTGCCCCCGGGACCCTCCCAGCCTACCAGCGCAACAAACTCCAAGCAGCAGACATGCTGAAGATTTTCTGAATGCCTGCAAATCAATATCTACTTCCCTGCACGCATGTGCGACACACACCTGCAGGCCATAACTATCAGCACCCCAAGGGCCTTTGGCCGCCAGGGGTTCGGGCTGGTCGACGCAAGGATGGGAGCAAGCACCCCATGCCCGGGTCGATGTGGCATCTTCGTTCTTGTAAAACACGTGGCAATGGCAAACCATTCCATCTCAAGGCATCCTGGTGCTTTCTCTTCTCTACGATCAAAAGCAGACCCAATAAGGATAAAGAGCGGCGGCAAGTCCTCCGGAGATGCCCCAGCTCAAAAATAAAAAGAGCCGGTGTGGCACACGCGCGGCCATTTCGGCGGCGCGAGTCTATCCGTTCCTAACTCTGGCGCAAACGAGCAACGCGAGGAGTCGTCCATGCATCTTGCCCACTGCTGCCTGCAGGCAATTGGGCAATGTTTGTCGGGTGGAGGGCCTTATCATGTTTTGACTTGCTTTTGCCATGCCTACGCCGCCTAAGCCAAGAGCGACCACTCCCGCAAAAACACCTACGCGAGACCAACGCGACAATGCGACTCAACACGTTTAGGGGGGCGCCAAACTACTTTGGCAGTACCAGCCAGGAAATCACAACTTTTCAGTACAAGTTTAGTACACGACGTACACTTTTGGCAGCTCCACACAAGCAGCGCAACTTGTCAGTATGGCACACCTTGGGCAGCTCCAGATCGAAAAACGTACTCGAAAGCACACCTTGGCCGCTCCGAAAGTTGCATCGTAGACGTCATGCCTACGCGACGCCTACGCGAAGCTTACGCGAAATTTGCCTGATTTGGGAAACGGCGTCTTTGTTGGACATTCAGACCATCCCCGCAACAGCGCTTCACATCATCCACCCCTTCATAGCACATGCCGAGTAATATCAAGAACATCCTCTTTTAATTTGCTAGGAAATATGCTAATATACAATATAAAAGAATTTAAAATAATATATCACAATTCATTTATTTCTTCCCCAAACATATTAATTCATATAAATATTGATTTATTATTAAACCAAATTATTTTATAGATATAACACCATATAACCCGAATAAATACATAAACATATGTTCATCTAAATAGAGGCTTCACAACACGAGCCTCAGCGAAATGCCGTGTGCGTGGCTACAGGGTTGTGGCCCTACTACCTGCGCAACATGCAAAAACATGTTGCCACGAAGATGTGGGCCTTTATCCCTAAACAAATGCGCTTCTGACGTTTGTTTAAGTGTTGGCAACATGAGCTGTGTCCAGGGTCGATTTGCTCCAAGAGGAAGGACGAGACGAAAAACCGCAGCCATCTGTTGGAAAGAATGCTAAGTCGCAGGATGCAAAGCCGTGCAGCACCCATGGGTTTCTTTTGCGGCGCGCCTGGATCAACCTCCCTGGGATCTGGGAAAAGGCGTGTGAACCTCAGAATCGGCGAATCCGCTGACCCCGCTGACCTCGCGATTGGATGCCCAGCTGGGAGCTGGGCTGTAAGAAGTTGATGCAGCCTCGAGCGCGTTCGCGCGCGCGCGAATTTGGAGGGCCAACGAGGGATACCCAGGGGCACTACCATGGATGACACCCACCTGCTGACCTCGCCCACATGGCGAACCAAAAAAAAACTAAAGGTGGCATGGGAGAGATCATCAAATGTTTCTTTGTGGTCGGCAACTGGCTCGCATTCATGGCTTCCTGCTGAACCTGCGCTACACTCTGTGGATTCTGTGAAGTTGGAGACATGAATGCTCTCTGTGCCCGATTCATAGGGAGAACAAAAAAGCTACACGTGTATATCTACTCCAGTTGAAAAACAGTCATTTGTATACACACACACATGCATTTAGGTTTACATCCAGGAGGCCCGCGCTTCGGCAGCTTGGCTCAAGTGGCCGCCGCTTGGAAGAGCATTGCCAAGCACAGGACGCTTTTCGCACAAATCCGGGCCAAAAAGCCTCCTATCTCCTCTCACTCCTCACCCCGTGGCCTTTTTGCATCCAGGCAGCCCACACCATCCACATCCAGCGCATGGAACAGCTGGTCCGCCGAGACCGCTGCCACTCCCAGCCTCAAGCTGACGCCATGCTCCCGGGAAAGCAGAATCTCAGAAGACCGGCTGCGGGAAACATCTGGGAGATTCTTACAAGAAGAGTGGAGAGAGAGGTACAGTGTTGCAGGAACTGGCAAAGAAAAACGCTCTGAAACTTGTAGCGCCGCACCGTCAAAAGTCAGGCAGCTACTGCGTTTGTCCAACGGCAACTGTGCCTATCGCAAAAAAGTAGTTCGTGTCTTACGCCCGCGTCCGTGTCGCTCATGCCTGATTTGAAACTGCATGATTTTGTAAAAAGACAGACACTTATCCAACACAGTCTGAGGCAAATCGCCAGGCATGCCGCACGTACAAAGCATTCATCTGACTTGCTTAAAGCCCCTTCCAGCATGCAGTAGGCACTTTGGGTGCTTTCTTCCAAGCCAGGTCTCAACGGGGCAGGATGAGAAGCACAAACCCGGCACGGACAAGTCGTCTGGGACGCGGTTCTTGGAGCAAACGCCAGGCCGAAGTCTGAAATCTGCAGATTGGGTTCCCCCGCTTCTTGGCAAAGGCACGTAGCTCTGCTTGCGTAACCTGCGCACATCATGCACTACCGTAGGCCCAATCTTCAATTGACATGTGAATCATATGAGTCAAGCAAGCCCTTGGGTTTGTTTTTTTTGAGGGAACCCTCCAAAAGGTTAGTGTTCCTTTAGTTTCCCTTTAAAACGACCACCAAACAGGTACCCTCAAAAAAAGAGAACCCCGTATCTTGGTTGCTGTTCACACCCCTGCAAAAAGTTTAACTTTTGGGGGGGTTTAGTGGAAAGCACCTTTGTTTCCCAAAAAGTTAAAGTCTAAAGATCCAACCCAATAGCTGTCAAGATATGTGTCCTTAAGCCCTTTACTCCCGGACTTCCGGGGCCTTCCCATCCTTGTTGGCATCCAGCAGGCGGTAGGCCTGGATGCCAAGCGCGGGCCGCGGGCCGCGGACGCTACGTCGCGGCGCTCGCCTCCTGGAGGCTGCTGCACTTGGACATCAGGAAGCGCCTGGCTGCGAGTCGCAGCCGTCCGCTGGCCACGTGAAGCGCCCCTTGTCTTAGTGATCATTTTCTGTAGGCTGGGATAGTTTGAACTTGATTCAAGCTTGGCTTGAAATACGGTCCGCGTTTAAAACGTTTAATCATGAAAAGTGGAGTGCATTTCCGCTCAAATCCCGAAACTGATTCGAAATCCGTACCTCTTTCAGGTGACTTTGGGGGAGAAAACACACTACTAAAGGCCGATTGCCCCGATCGCAAGCTCTGAGGCGTCGGCTTCAAGACGTCCACAGTCTTGTTGACCTGCAGCGCCGCTCGCTTTTTTCAACCCAACGTGAACTCGCGATCGGTGCGGAAAGTAGGGCATGGGGGAAATATGGGGATTCCCGAATAAAGGAAACCACCAGTTGGATGGTTTGTTGGGGTCATTCCCTCATTCCCTGCTCAGCACCAGCAAGGTGAATGGAGGTGAGGCGAGAAATCGTCCTTAAACTCACCACAAGCCCATCCACCCGGCAGTGCATCATTGATGCCCCGCACAGGCAAGGGGTTTCATCGCGAAAAAGGCAAAAGATAGACGGGAATCGGCGTTCCGATCGGACTGCTTTTGCCAGTCTGCCAAGACCCCACAAACCCCGAAAGCCTGCATGGTGTCCCCGGCGCGCCCCGCGAAAAAAAAGAGGCAAAGATCATCTTGCGCTTGGCGGGTGCTTCGCGTGCCACGCACGCAGCACCAAGCCTCCATGCAGGCGATGGGGTCCGGGATCACAAGCACCGGAGGCTGCGACAGCGCACGGAAGTTGCGCCTCGCGGTGAGATTCCCCCGCGCCGAAGCTTTCTTGCTCACCCAGTGATTCCATTGAGGGTCAAGATGACCCAGGTTCAACCAGCTTTTGAAAACTAGAAGGGCATGTATCGCAATAGGGCGACCCTTCAACAATCTGCGCTTGTCCGCTTGGCTTCCCTTTAAACCGTGCTGAAAGGGCAGCCTCAAAAACCCACACGCCCACAAGAAAGCTGGCTAGTCATGCTCATTCACCCCATGGCCGCTTCACACATCTCTTGGCCCCACAC